CAATCGTGTTTTTTTTTCTGATCAATAACCTTTCATTGATAAACTTTTGTAAATGTTGATATTACTGGATTTTTAAAATGTTGTTGAAAGTGTCGCATTATTTTATAGTATATTAAATTTTATGTCTATGGTCAAAAAAGTATTTGATAGAAATCTAGGCCATGTCTGTAAAATACTCTAATAAGCTTTAACCTCAATTTTCTAATACGAATCTCGATGAGACCAGGAAATTTTACGCTTCAATACGGGCAGTACAAAGGGCCGTATTGTCCCTTTCGATATCCGTCCATAAAAGATCTATTTTTGTCCTATTTCGCGTCTTTTATAGTCTGTGGACAGCGCGATGACCGGATCTGGGAGGAAAAATAAAAACCTCCCGTCCGAGGATTATTCTCTTATTTGTCTATCTTTCGAGTTATTTTTTAGTTAAAACTTTTTTACAGAATATAGAACAGGATACTATACTCAGATTAGGTATCCTGTAAGTATACAGATAAAAGTCTTGTCCCTAATTCGTGGTAGGAAAATTGTTTTTTATGACGATGTGCAAACGAGTCAAATTTCCTTGCGCAAAAATAAACTCGCGTAAAATAACAATAAACAGCGTAATAGAGAGATATCGCTAAACCGAATAGCGCGCATGGACGTTAGAGATTAGATTAGATTCTTAGAGGTGGCTTTCAGCCTGATCCACTGCGACCTTCTCAGATCTATTGCGGTCCTGTTCTGATCCTTAGATTACATTCTCCAGTCCTATCCTTTTCACAAAGTTTAGCAACTTGGAGACTAAACCCTCCATGTAGCTCCTTGGCAATGGCCTATCATTGCCTATTACCGGGAACCGCACAGTCGTGGGTAAGGTATTTCACTAGAGAGAAAACTAATCAATAACAATAAACAAAAAAATATAGATATTGGGCGCCAGGCATGTACAGAGAAAGAAAACATAGTTGTATATTACTTAAAACTAATGACTATATTTATTCAAGATGGACTGTGATGGTAAATAGCATTGTACAATTTTAATAATTATTATAGTGGTTATATGTCAACGAAAGTGGTGTTAAGAATTGTACTAAATATCTCTGAAAACAACTATGATAAAATACAAGACATGTAAAGTTTAAGAGAATATCTGAAATGTAGCATTACTTTAATTAATTTGATATATTTTATATGATGTTAGAGCAATAATATCTATAAAAAAGTAATACTATTACAAGGCGTAATGTAATGAAACCTAAAATCTAAATCATATTGTAACAACTAAATCGACATAAATGTTCTTAATAATCTAACCACTAAATATAGTCTGTACGATATTATTTAAAATGTACGTTATTAAGTCAAGACTGAAAATCGACTGAAAACCAGAACCTAAATCTACACTTAGCTGTTCTTGAGGCAATCCTGTTTCAAAGAGTAGCAGCGTGAGGTGGGCTCATATCTCTGTACTGTCTGTCGGCGATCCTGTTGGCCAATACAACAAAAGGGGCCAGAATGAGGACACCATGAATCAATACAGCCCTAACTACTGACTAGACTGAGAAATGGGAGCGAAGCAGCATGGGGCTTAAGCTACATCCACGCTGGGGCACTTTATATGTAAGATAAATCACTCCTACTGGAGACACTCGTCCACGGGACATCCGTCCATAAGGTAATGGTACAAGGGAACACTACCCGTACCTTGGAACACTACTAGGACCTTGGATAATGCCTGTACCTTGGAATCAATACATAGATATGGGACACCTGCCCATACCTTGGACCCTAAAAATACGAAACTCTTGTTTAAAATCAAACAAGATCTAATAAACAAAATGAACCTACCTCGAATTACTTCCGAGGGCTCAATAATATACAAAGAAACTGTCCTTTCTTCCATGTAACATTCTGGAGGACAAAAGCAAAAGAACACCAATGTGCCAGCAAAATACAAATACGAGTTAAGGTGGGTCAATCCAAAACTCTACCCTAAAAATATTCAATAATAATATCGAATCTATAAAAAATAATAACTCATCTTTACCTGTAGCTTCGAAATGGCAGCTGATTCAGATTATACAGCAAGATTCAAATAATCACCATTTCTAAAAGCCGGGATTTGCAAAAGTGAGGTTAAGCGCGGAGAGTTGACAGAAGCGATGTTGACAGCGCGCGCCTCCACAGAATAGTGAAACGATAGCAGGGTTGGCTACTAGGGAACGTAAAAATTACGCCAAGCGTACCAACAAAATGATCAGGCCTGAACGAGAGGGAATCCGGTGACGATAGGCCATATTATATGTAAAAGAGACATGTAACGAACTAAAAACGTTACAAGCTTTAGATGCCTATTTAGCTTACAATGCCCTGTTAGTAGACCTACTACAGCTTTGACTGTCTTTCTGTCCTTGCTTATCATGGACGTTAATAAGGCCAGGTGTTATTTCCTTTACGTGAGGTGCTATTAACTCTCTTCATTTATAGTTATCGGATCGGAAAGAATTCTGTTCGAGTCGCGTCCGCTATTTAAACTTAACCTAACTTTGAAATTGTTTTGTTTACTAGGTATTTTAAAACTAAAGGGCTAAAGTGCTTATTTCCAGTGCTTTATTGTTCAACGTCTGCCAATGGGTTTAGGGCAACAAGCAACAAATTCTATTAGAAGGGCTAAATCGTCATCTGCTGTAAACCTAAGACTCTTTATAGGTTCTTTAGTATTGGAAGAGGTGGAATCCATATTTTGGGCCATATTTATTTAATTAAAACTAATCCCCGCTACTTAAATATCAAATTACCTAATAAAACTAAAGCAATAATTCAAAACAATTCAAACATAACCTAAAATAAAAGATCTCGCCGGCCGGCTCCGGTTGTCAAATACCCGCACATGCCCATTTAAGCAATTTTTAAACGTTATTTAGAAATAGCGCTTGGTGTAATTGATCCGCAAATTACGTCAGGCGGTAACGTTATTAGCGGGCGTTGCGTTAAAAATTGACTCGCGCATATCGTAACCATGATAAGGTACGCGTAAATACTGCATGACGCTATTCGGTTTTCCGATATCTCTCTAATAACTGTGCCGGTCAGGCGCTGTGCACAATTTTAGAGGCCATAAGTGGGCGGGCTATGTGCACAAACTAGTCACCTAACTAGTGCCCGATTCCGAAAATTGGAACCACGAAAAACAATAAAGAAAAAACAAAGATTATGATCTGTATAATCTGTGATACTATACTCAGATGAATTGTAAAGACAGAAATTAATCAAACGGTAGCAACGCGCTTCAAGCCGAAGAACAATATTCTCTTTCATCTGCCTGAACGATTTCTACCCAGTAATAAATGCGAAATTTAATCAAGCGGATATTTAATTTTGAAGCTACGAGGAAATTTATAAACTCTGATGAAAACGCGAGCCGTCCCCCACTGCCTTTTAAAGAGATTTTAATAACACAACAACTGGCAAAGACTAAAAGGCTCATCGGACGCTTTGTTTTATTAAAATCCACTCGTTTTTTCACATTAAAATGATCTTGAAATTATAAAGCCTTCCAATAAAACAACAAAAATATAGTATAAATCATCAGAATGTTTTTTTTTATTTTCTTATCCTCAGCTTGTAGCAATTAGCGATGGGAACTATCGATTGAATTAGACTATCGAATGGTTACTGAATGAATGATTTCAACTATCGAATGGTTTTATTCGAATAAAATCATTCATTCATTTGTATACTAAAGCATATGTGACAACCTCGCCGTGCGACTAAATGGTTATCGTTGAGCCACGACTATCGAATGTTTTTGATAAATGAAATTTAGTATTCGTTTGATTTTTGTGTGCGTCAGTGCATTATTAGTTCTTCCACTAGAAAATTAAATTAAAAGTTTTACACGTGCCAATTTAAAAAAAAGTTAACGATGTTTGTATTTTGTTTATGCTAATTCTCTTACATGTAGTTTTTTGCCAAGAAATATTTCATTTATTTTTTAGTAGTAATACCAATATTTTTTAGCAGTAAATACCAGTAAAAGTAAATATTATTATTATTAAATAGTAATATAAAGTACCGAATATAAATAATTTTGATTTCTAATTTTTATTTATATTTTCCTTGCATTACACTGCACGCTTAGATAATTAATAAATGTTTATATTTCATGATTTTAAAATTTGTTGTTAATATAACAAATTAGTTCTGTAATTATTATTATTTAATAAACCAACGTTGCCACAAAAAATTGAGAGACTATATTATTTTTAAATAGGATCTAATATATATATTTATATATTTTGCTACTACTTAAAAAAAATGTTTATATTAAATGATTTCAAATTTTGTTGTTAATAGGTATAACAAATTATTACTGTTATTATTATTTATTAAACCAGTCTTTGCTTAAACACATTAAAAATAATTTTCCTACATCCAAAATAACAAGTATTATTGCAGTGTAACAACAGAATATTAATAAAAAAATATAAAATATATAGACATACTATCCCTAACTAACTAAAGCCAAACAATAATATTCTTTGCTAATATCAATTAATACCGAGCCTAATACCAATATATGGCAACAGCGCCCTTCATAATGTATTTTCTCTGTAAATACTAGCACCTCAATAAAAAAAAATAATGTGTCCTTATCTTTATCTGACTCCACAAAAAATCAAAGATGCCGGCTTCTTTCATAGCATTGCCACCGACCGGGTTTTTCGGAAAGAAACCTACGTCGCCGGGCGACAACTAAAATCCAGTTAATATTTTATTATAATCGATCCTGACGAATAAATGAATTTTATAAATGAATGGTTTTTGCTGCCGAATTACTAGAATACAATATTTCAAGGCAGATGACGCATCTATTCGATAATTTTTATTCGAATAGTTTTCAACGAATGTTTTTTTACTAGCTATCGAATTATTCGAATGAATTGCAACTATCGAATGTTTCGATAGTATTCATTCGATAGTTCCCACTACTAGTAGCAATTACTTTTTTTCAGACGGTGACCCTAGGCAAGATTTTTACATCGGTCGAGACACTGGCAACGTTCTTTTGGCCCACAAACTTGACCACGAGCATCAAAGTGAATACAGCCTCAACATCAGCGTCTCAGACTCCATACATACAGTCTACATCACTTTAAACGTCACAGTGATCGATATTAACGATCACAGGTATAGTCTGTGAAACGAATAACTTTGAATTTGACAGTTCCCGCGGGCTTTTCTAGTGTTAATTTTATTAGGTTAGCAACTTGCGGCCATGCTGACGCAATGCCGTCTCTAATAGAACAGCCTCGGAGCGAGATTTATGACGTCACGCTAGTTAGATACTACGGATTAATAAATATGTTGTAGAATACATGGAAAACATCATTATTTCTCGTATTTTTGGTTTGTATTTTAAAAATGATATAGTTTACATGAAATATACATATACCTATTTATAGTAATAAATACTTTGGCAAATAAACTATGAACCATACAAATGCTGCAAATGTTTTACAATATACAAATAATCTACATTGACTATGGAGTACGATTTCAGCCATAGTCAATGTAGATAGTTTTACTGTTAAGAATAATAATTTTAAAAAATATGTGGTCTTCTTTTGACAAGTTTATATTAGTTTATTAATTGCATGAAACATTATGTGGTGTGTGGAATATAATCCAAAAACTTACATATAAAATTGACATTTTTTGAATTATATTCGACACTATCTTTTTTATATGACACAACGATGTGTCCTGATGAAGGCTATAATGTTAGCCGAAACGTTTGTTTTTTAACCAAATAAAAATAATGAAAAACCAAATGAAAACTTAATCAGCATTTTTCCCAAACATAAATTCCAAGAAAATCAAAACATATAAAATGACAGCGATCTTTATTTCATAGCCATCGCTGACGCTTTTTTTTTTCTATGATATTGTATTATTTGCAAATATAATTTTTCGAACATTGATACTTGCAAAACATACATATAAATTTTGTGAATGCAAATAATAATACATCTCTATTAGTAGATATTGAATGTTTTTTGTTAAATTAGATCGATTTTCAAACCCCAAAATTTAAAATATATTTTATATTTTATGTACCTATTCATTATTTGTATATTGTAAATAATTTGCTGCATTTGTATGGTTCATAGTTTATTTGCCAAAGTATTTATTAACAATATCTAGTACAATAACAATAAACAATATCTAACTAGCATGACGTCATAAATCTCGCTCCGAGGCTGTTCTATCAGAGACGGCATCGGTCTGATATTTAGAAATGTCAAAAGCTGATGAGATGTTACTTTTGACAAGTCTGACATTTCGTGTTGATTTTTGCAAGAAAATGAAGAACTGTCACTTGTTTTTATTATTTTCCTTTTCTATTTCACGAAAGTAAAAAGAGTTACCTATCTGATTCGTTCAGGCACTCAATTTAAAGAATATCAGTAACTTTTTTGACGGAAGGATTTTATATTTGCCATGTTGGTAAAAAATAACGGTCAAAATTCAAAGTTATTCATTTTATAGAGTATAAGGGTCTACACTAGAGATGTACTTTTTAGTATCGATATTTTTCTTAAATAATAATTATCTTTCTTTTCTTCTCTTTAGGCCTCAATTTACTGAAATGATATACAGGATGGAAATATCAGAGGCTGTGCCTATCGATACTGAAATTTTCCGATTGACAGCTACCGACGAGGACGAAAATGACAAGTTGATTTACAGCGTTACTTCTGCTGAGAATATGCTCTCACTAAAGATATTTAAACTTGATTCAATAACAGGTAAGAATCGTGTACCATAAAAAACCGTCCCAGTTACTGGCTTTTGTCCAAGCCCTGAGGCTACTTATTACTTTTACTGTATAATGCTTTCTTTTATTTTTCTTTAGGTGTAATCACCCTAGTGGGAAACCTAGACCGGGAAACCCTTTCCGAACACGTTCTAACCGTCATGGTTCGTGACGGTGGTACTCCAGCCAAAAGAAACCTCGCCAGGCTCCATATTATCGTCCACGATCACAACGACCACGCACCCCACTTCTCTGACAAGATTTTGGTGGGAAAAGTTTTTGAAACAGCCTCAGTTGGTAGCGTGGTACTTCGAGCACTTGCTGTAGACCACGACAAGGGTGACAATGCCAGAATAACGTACTCCATCGTCTCGGGAAACGTTGGAAATGTATTTGCCATCGATGCGGACTTGGGTACTATAAGAATAGCTAGGGAATTGGACTTGACCAGCGCTTCTGAGTATACTTTGCATATCAGAGCTACAGATCACGGGCAACCGCCTCTGACAGCTACCGTTCCTGCCCATATATCCTTGGCAATGGCCGATAATGCACCTCCAAGGTAACTAAATATATAGTCTATAAAATGAATAACTTTGAATTTTGACCGTTATTTTTTACCAACATGGCAAATATAAAATCCCTCTGTCAAAAAAGTTACTGATATTCTTTAAATTGAGTGCCTGAACGAATCAGATAGGTAACTCTTTTTACCTTCGTGAAATAGAAAAGGAAAATAAAAAAACAAGTGACAGTTTTTCCTCTTCTTGCAAAAATCAACACGAAATGTCATAATTGTCAAAAGTAAAATGTCAACAGCTTTTGACATTTCTAAATATCAGACCAATGCCGTCGCTAATAAAACAGCCCCTGACGGAGATTTATGACGTCACGCTAGTAAGATATTACGGATTAATAAATATGTTGTAGAATACATGGAAAACATAATTATTCCTCGTATTTTTGGTTTGTATTTTAAAAATGATATAGTTTACATGAAATATACATAATATACAGTTAATAAATACAATATATATACCTATTTATAGTAATATAATATTTTATAGTAAAAATTTTAGAATGATTTTACATATAAAATGACAGCAATCTTTATTTCATAGCCATCGCTGACGCCTTTTTTCTATGATATTGTATTATTTGCAAATATAATTTTTCGAACATTGATATGTACTTGCAAAATATACATATTTTGTGAATGCAAATAATAATACATCACTATTAGTAGATATTGAATGTTTTTTGTTAAATTAGATCGATTTTCAAACCCCAAAATTTAAAATAAATTTTACATTTTACCCATTATCTTATGTACCTATTCATTATTTGTATATTGTAAAACGTTTGCTGCATTTGTATGGTTCATAGTTTATTTGCCAAAGTATTTATTTGTATATTGTATTTTTTAACTATATATTATGTATATTTCATGTACACTATATCAATTTTAAAATACAAACCAAAAATACGAGGAATAATTATGTTTTCTATGTATTCTACAACATATTCATTAATACGTAGTATCTAACTAGCGTGACGTCATAAATCTCGCTCCGAGGCTGTTCTATTAGAGACGGCATTGCGTCAGCATGGCCGCAAGTTGCTAACCTAATAAAATTAACACTAGAAAAGCCCGGGGGAACTGTCAAATTCAAAGTTATTCGTTTCACAGACTATACTATTTAACGTTATGTTATCATTATTTGTCAGATAAGCGTAGGGTGTGTTTGAGATCAGTTCATATTGTTTAAAAATTTTCGCATATTTTTCTATTAATTATTGAACACTACGTATACTTCTAACGCTTGCAATGTTTTATTTTATCTATAGATTTGCTAACAAGGAGATAGCAGCTGAAATATACGAAGACCAACCTCTGGGAAGCTACGTAGCTCATCTCGAAGTTCGCAGTACGTCATCTTTACAGTTTGAGATCCTTGAAGGCAACAGCGATAGTAGCTTCATCATCAGCCCCAGCACTGGCATCATCATCACCCAAAAGATTTTAGACTACGAAACAACCAAATTCTACAATTTATCAGTCATCGCAACCAACATGGCTTCAGTATCTGCCACCTGCAACGTTATCATTCATATTTTGGATAAAAACGACAACGTCCCTCGGTTTTTGCAAGACCAGTACTTTGGATATATTTCTGAAGCTTCCAGTATAGGGTCTTTGATCACCACAAACACCAGTGAGCCTCTGGTGATCAAAGCTTTTGACGCAGACAGCGAAAGAAACGCCTTGTTACAGTTTGACATAGTTGAGATCCTTCCAAGACGGTATTTCCAAATAGACTCGAACACCGGAGCTATCAGGAGTACTAGGCTCTTAGACCATGAAACCCTCCCTAGTTTCAGTTTCCATGTGCAAGTATCTGATATGGGAAAGCCTAAATTAGTGTCTGAGGCTACTGCAAGAGTGGATATACAAGTGAAAGATGTGAATGACTGTCCTCCAGTTTTCTCGAGCTTGGTTTATAATGTCACTCTTCTTTTACCTTCTTACAAGGATGTGACGATTATTCAAGTAAACGCTTCAGATCCCGATAGCTCAGAAGATCAGTATTTGAAGTATGACATAATTGAAGGAAACAAAATGGGTGCATTTGCCATAGATTCAAAATCAGGAGTTATAACACTTGCTGACCCAGAAGCTGTCAAACCCTCGGCTTCTTACAAGATCCACGTCAGAGTGACGGATGGCAAGTTTGCCAGCGTTGCCAAAGTTTATATTAGAGTCGATGAGTCTGACAACAGCGGGTTGGTGTTCCAGAAACCCTTCTATGAAGGAAGTATAGTTGAGAACAGCACGAAAATCACGATCGTTTGTGTTGTGAACGTTTTAGGAAGTGCCTTGAACGAACATATTGAATTTAAGATACTGAATCCCACGGATATGTTCACTATAGGGCCTACTTCTGGTAACTAGGACTGTGTTTCTAATAAAAATATTGTTTTTTGACGTTTTTTTTTGTTTACAGGGGTTATTAGAACAACAGGTATAAAATTTGATCGTGAAACTAAAGATGCCTACCAACTGATCGTGGAAGCAAGGAGTGAGATGCCTCACAGGGAGAAGCCCAGAGTGGCACATGTCATGGTTAACGTGACAGTTCTAGACATTAATGACAATTGTCCCATGTTTGTCAATTTGCCTTACTATGCTGTGGTTTCGGTTGACGATGAAAAAGGAATGGTAAGTTTTTTGGTAGTATGAAGGATTTTTAACCATAAAGGACAATATGAAGGTTTCTGACAGTTTTGCACAATAAAAATTGTTAAAATATGTAGTAGGAACATAATTTATTGTTTTTCTTACGTCTATGTTTCAAAAAGACCGCAATTCGAAAGATATTGTTACGTTTCTGTGAGCATCAATTAAAACGAAAATAATATTTGCTATAACAATTTAAAATATATTTAACCAACATCAACACATTTAAACTATATCTAATAACAATAAAAATAAATAGCAAACTAAGACATGAGATTTTGCTACAGGTATTCGACATATCAATCGTCTTCTGTTATGGACAGACGGGGCAGTTTTTGAACATTTCTCGCGGAATCATTAATTCAGTGGGGGTGAAAGATACCCTCTCATAACTGCTAAGTATTTCTAATTCTTGTCTCGATTATACGGAAGAATAAGGAACCTTTATTCTTCCGCAAATATATCCATAGGATTAGATCCATGGGCCCTAAGTCAGGCGGCCTCGACGGCCAACGGCTGGGATCTTGTTTAGCTATTCAATTATTCTTGAAATTGGCTGCAAAAATTTGCTGATAACTTCAGCGTTCAGAGGCGTTGCGTCATCTTGCTGGTAAAATATGTTTTCGAGTTCTATTAAGAGCATATCATCAATAAGGGGTCCAAAGCCTACTAGTTAAAAGTGGCGAACTTCTAAAAATTCTGTATTTCAAAGGGAATTATAACAAAATATCAAGTGTGCTATATTTTTGGAAAGTAATTTTAAATTCTTTTCAGTTAATTAAAAATATAAAGGGTGTCCCAAATAAAAAATCAATTTTTCTGTTGATAACTCTTAAATTATTAATTTTAAAAAAATTATACTTCAACCATTAAATTCTACGTTAAAAGGTGCTTTGGAAATGTTTTCATAGAAATACAAAGTTTTCCATAGCAAAAAAGTTACAGCGATTTGTTAAAAATGCACATTTTTGAAAAACACCCCTTAACTCCGAAACGGTAACAGATATTGATGTGCGGTTTTCACCATCATGTTTTTGATGAAAATTGAGCTCCAGACACCGATATTAGTTTTCGTCTATCTCCTATAGAAAAGGGTGTTTCCATTTAAAAGTGTCGAATTTGACCCACCCTGTACAACTTGTACAAGCATAGATAAAAGAATAAAAATGTACAAAGAATTTCTAAAGGGGGGCATAGACGATAAATTATTACGTATTTATTTTGTAGGTAACAACAGCAGGCTAAAAAAGTTTTATTATTAATTTTCGCTTTGTTTTAATTTTTAAGATTAATTTCTATGAAACTACATAGTTAAACGTGTGAGACTTATTTTTCTACTTTTATTCTACCTAGGTTATAGCCAAAGTCCACGCCATAGACTTGGACAGCTCAGAAAATGGCGAAGTCAGATACGAATTGAACAAAGGCCACGGGGAACTGTTCAAGGTCCAACGCGAAACAGGTGATATCGAGATCAGACAGAACCTCGAAGGTCACAATCGAGAGTACGAGCTTCAGATCTCAGCCTACGACAAAGGTTTGCTTGTTTGTTACTCTCAAACTTTGCTACCGATACTATCCATGCTTTTTGAAGTGTTTTAAGCGCTGTTTTTTTTTCTCACAGGTATCACTCCTTGTAGGACCGACGTCACCGTTCACATCAAAGTGATCGACCGATCGATGCCGGTGTTTAAAAAGCAATTCTACTCGGAAACGATCGCCGAGAACGTGGAACTACACTCGCCTTTGTCCGTGTCCATTGAGGCGGAGTCGCCGCTGTCCAGGAAATTAATATACAGTATCGTCAAAGGGAACGAGATGGAAGAGTTCGCGCTGGACTTTAATACAGGTGGGATATACCTAGAACCGTTTTTTTTTTAATAAAATGAAACGTTGAAAACGAACGATATAGTGCGGAAATTATTGTGTCACACGTACGAAGTTTGCAAAAAAACGAGTAAATTTTTATTTTAGGGATGTACAAAAATATCGATATTTTAAAATATCGATAGGTCCGACAATATCGATATTTGTAAAAAAAGGCTGGGTATTTTGTCACTGAACGAGAAATCTAAAAAAAAATATTTCTTTACAGGGATGTAAAAGTTTATCGATATTTTAAAATATCGGTAATTCTAAAAATATCGAAACGTCGATCTGTTGAGAATAAACTGAATATTTTGCCACTGAAAGAGACTAAAAAAAATAAAAACTAGGGATGTACAAATATATCGATATTTTAATATATCGATACTTCTAAGTATATCGATTTTATTAAAAAAGAAATCTAAAAATAAAAAATGGATTTTTGGGGATGTACATACAAAAATATCAGAATATCGATACTTCTAAAAATGGAAATATCGATTTGTTGAAAAAAGTCTGCATATTTTGCCGCCGAAATATAAATCTCAAAAAATAAAAACATAGTTTTCTAGGGATGTACAAAATATCGATTTTTCAAACATCGATACTTCTACAATATCGATTTTTCTAAAAAAAGCCGGGCTAAAAGCGTTATTTTTTTTTAAAAAGAATTTTTCTGAAAAACCGAATTATTTCTCCACTGAACGAGTAAGGTAAGAATCCAAAATCGATATCTATTTAGGGAAATACAAAACTATCGATATTTTAAAATATCGATACTTTTAAAACTATCGTAACATCGATTTGTTGCGCCAAGGCAGGAATATTTTGCCACTGGCAGAGAAATCCTGAAAACGAAGAATAAATTCTAGAGATGTACAAAAATATCGATATTTTAAAATATCGATACTTCTCAAAATGGAAACGTCGATTTGTTGAAAAAAGGCGGCATATTTCGCCGCCGAAATATAAATCTCAAAAAATAAAAACATAGTTTTCTAGAAATGTACAAAATATCGATTATTAAATATCGATACTTCTAGAATATCGATTTTTCTAAAAAAGCCAGACTAGAAGCGTTATTTTTTTTAGAAAAAGCTTTTTTCTAAAAAAACCAATAATTTCTCCCCTGAACGGGCAATCTAAAAAATCAAAATCGATTTCTATTTAGCGAAATAGGTACAAAACTATCGATATTTTAATATATCCATACTTTTAAAACTATCGATATTTTAAAATATCGATACTTTTAAAACTATCGTAACATTGATTTGTTGTGCTAAGGCAGGAATATTTTTCCACTGAAAGAGAAATTCCGAAAAAGCAGAAGGAAGAAAATTGTAGGGATGTACAAAAATGTCGATATTTTAAAGTATCTATACTGCAAAATATATCGATATGTTTAAATACGCCCATCTCTTTTTCCAGAAATGAATTCCCCAAGTTTTTTTATGAATTTCTTAGTGTGATACTATTCTATATCAAAATAATATTTGATAATAAGCAGATTTCAATAAATTAGTATTTCTCTTTTGAGTTTATTATATTTTTTTTCCATTGTGAATAGTTCCTTCAGAACCACGGTTTAGGACTATACACCATAATCTCGCTGAATTCTTAGACTATATAAAAAATTCGGATAACACCCAAAAAGGTATCAGGTATCTTAGATTGGTTTGATTTTGATTTCCGTAGCAAAAAAATAGTTTTAATATTTTTGATTTGTAATGGTGTTGGTTTTAAGTAAAATCATTTTTTCTTTTAACCTTAAAATCATTAACAAAAGTAACTTTCATCGAGTTTGAATTATTGTAACAGGTCAATTTTTCGGTGTGTTGGAGCAGTATTTTTTTTTTAATTTTAGTTATATTAAAATTTGATGTAAAATGAAATTTTAATAAAAAATTCATTATTTTCTGCAGCTCCAGACAATAACAATGGGCCTTGTGAGTATTACAATTAAATTAATTAATATCACGCTTTCATGTCGTTTAATAACACCTCACCTTTGCATTAACCTCCTCTACATAGGCGTACTAACTTTTCCTATTTATAGGCACACATTTTAATATAACTTTCTTTTCGTAATTTAATTTTTTTTTGTTAAATTTTATATTTAATATACAGGGTTTTTCAAAAAGATCACTGGAATATTTTTGTAAAAAATAATCTGTGCTCCACTGACTTTGTGCTTTTGTTAGCTCAGTTGTGTAGTTTGTGCATTTAATGTCTGTATGGAAAAAAATGGTTTACCGTAGTACCTAATAAAGTATTTAAATAAAATATAAAAGAATACTAAAAAAGTATTTTTTTTAAATAACTAGAAAATATGATTAGTGCGCCTATGCATACTCTACCTTTTACTAACATTAAATTAATGAAGCATGGCATGCAGTGGCTGGTTGTAAGTTAGTGTACGGGGTATATGCGTTCCTAGAACTGTATCAGTCAGGAATAGACAGGAACATGTGTAGGAATTAGTTAAATTTTCCTGTAAAGTATTCAATACTGAAATAGTTGATAGTTTAGAACTTCTAAAAGCATTTGCTTTGGAATTCTAGCATTGTTTGTAGTATTTCCGTAATATGTACTGAAATTCAGGATGCTACTAAATTGAATGCTACATTTTGAATATACATTTACGTGTAAAGACATATGAAAAATAGAAAAACTATTTTTTAAGAATTTTTTGAAAGGCACCATATAAAAAAATCTTTTTTTCTGCGGCACTGGAACGTTTTCTTGTTCTCCGTGTCACTAATGTGAAATTTCGTGCCCTTCTAGAACTCTCGAGTTAACTAAGCATGCCGCTAGGTTTCATCCATTTACATTTCAAGTTTGCTAATTTAGGACAAACTTTTACTTAAGTTTTACTTTACTAGATTCCTAAAATCACAACTTTGTAGTTTTAGGATGATTTTCTGTGCTTTACTGTTTTATAATTATACAGGGCGAGTCTTAAATAAGTGCAAATATTTTTAGGGGTATTTTTTTCACAAAAAAAGATGTTGAAAATCGTGCATTTTTTTAAAATGTTTCTGTATATTTTAGAAAACCTTTTAAAACTGCCTGTTTACCACAAATTTTACAAATACTATACAGGGTGTCTTTGTTTTAGTATTTTAAGGAGTGGTAGATCTGGTTAAAAGAAACATAATTTAAAGTATATTTCACTGTATTAACACTATCCAATTTTTTATATCAAGTTACTTAAAGACTATAAAAAATGTATAATAAATTTATATTTTTATTTTTGACGTTTGGAAGTAAATATTTAATAGTTTTTTTCATAAACAGATTTTAAATCTTTAGCTTTAAATGTGTAAATTTGCATGCTATTTTTACTAAGTATATTTTCTGTTTTCTTATTTTTTTTTGTTTGTTTTTTTTTCAAGGTGTGATATCTGTGGTGGATGAACTGGACTATGAGCAAAATCCCCAGTATGAACTCTTAATAAGAGCCACAGATTCAGTGTCTGGAGTGTATGCAGAGGTTCCAGTGAGTAATATAATTCGATAACAAATAATGACTATACCTTTATTTTAAAAAAAATATGGGTATTTTGCCACTTTCGCTGTAAGAGAATCTACAAAATAAAATAGTTATTTTTTGTAAACGCTGGCTGCGTTTATCCAATGGAGACTAATAAACAAATTGTTCTAACAGACAAAAAAATTCTTAACGTTTCGGAAAGTATATCTCTTCCCGTCGTCGGATGCAAAAAACACAAAGAACAAATAAAAAACTATTTAAAATATCTAAATACACAACTCTTAAAGAACACTGTATTTTGTTTCAACAGATACGTCTACAAAAACCATTGACGTCCTGTCAAAATGACGTGTATATCCATAAAAAATAAAAAAGGTAAATCACTGTTGACAAATTGGTCTCCGTTGGATCATTGACTATACAGATTATAAACTTTGTTTTTTCTTTATTGTTTTTCGTGGTTCCAATTTTCGGAATCGGGCACTAGTTAGGTTACTAGTTTGCGCACATAGCACGCCCACTTATGGCCTTTAAAATTGTGCACAGCGCCTGACTGAAAACCGAATAGCGTTATGCAGTATTTACGCGTACCTTATCATGGTTACGATATGCGCGAGTCAATTTTTAACGCAACACCCGCTAATAACGTTACCGCCTGACGTAATTTGCGGATCAATTACGCCAAGCGCTATTTCTAAATAACGTTTAAAAATTGCTTAAATGGGCATGTGCGGGTATTTGACAACCGGGGCCGCCACAGTGGGGCCGATTGCCATTTTTGCGGCCAGAACCTTATAAAACAGAAGTTGCTTTTTCAAAAAGTTTTGATGACCATAGAATACAGAAAAGACCTAAATATTATATTATGCACAGAAAAAAACCTTGGATGCAGATCTGTAACCAGTGAAGGGCAGTAATGTCGAAGGTTTAGTTGTACCCTGTATAATAATTGCAATTTGTAGGGCCCGAATAATAAGTAAAATTTCTTGGTTAATTTTTAAATACAATTAATTTTTTGCATTTTTTATAAAAGTACAATACTACTTGACTATTTCTAGCTATATTTTGAAAAAAAAACGTTTTCACTGATGCATACTAAATTAATTAATAAATTAGTAAAACATAAAAAATAAAATATGCTATTTAACCTTGAGTTTTGTTGAGTGCCCAAAGTTGCCCAATTTATTGGCTGATGTTTTTTGAAAGATTGGACATTACCCTTCATGTATTTGTTACCATCTTGCGCAACTTTAAAAAAATATTTTTAAATGTAAGTACGTCCCTGGTACTTTCAGTAATAGACTATAGGTCTTTATGATTTATTTAGATTAAGTTCGTGTGATTTTAATAAAATCTGATACTCATGAATCGCCTGTAATCAAGCACATAGTTAGGGGGTCCAAGAGTCCTAGACCCTTCAGTCCCACCCCACCTCAAATCTACAAATTTTGTGTGTTTTAACTGAATTAATGCTTAGATCGAGGCTTAAATAATACACAATGTCCCCACTCCTTTTTTATCTTTTTAATGGAACAACATGGAGATTTGAAGTAAGGCAATATGTTTAAAAATATTACGTTTTAGTCTAAATATGACAGTTTAAAATTTCAAGATGGCGGCTTAACTTATTAAAATATCCGCACGTAAATTCAAACTATGATATGTACTAAAATAATGAACCGATTTTAAAAATTTAAGCAATTAAACAAATTATTTTTAAACGCATTACATTACGCTAAATTTAAAATCTTTTAGTTGCTCCAATCCAAAAATTGAGGGAGAAAAAAAATTCCGGCACCCAAAACCACCCTTCCCCCGAAATGGTTGTTAAAATTTTTGGAACCTCCTCGTCATCCGAAATTAATTTTTAGATGCTTGCCTGTAATAGGTACACGAAAAATCTAGCCCATACTTTCTTGATGACGTGCCGACTGCTCATTTTGAGACATGTGAGACCACGATTGAAAATAATTATTTTTTTACTTCTTGAAAACTAGAATCCAAAAACAATGTTTATTTTTTTATCAAAGTTGTTGGTTACATACAGATAAAAAAATATATCAAACAGACCGATAAACAGACAGACAGACACACAGACATGCCACAAGACAACAATATTCCAAATGGCTTGCAAGGCAAAAGTGTATAAGTTTTGTCATCCGGGTATTTTTTCTCACATTATATTGATGAGCTAATATGCTGGGTATATACTTGAACTATAATTTAATTAACTAAAATTTTGAAGATTAGCTACCTAGAAATTCAATTAAGCAAAAACTGTTAAATTCTATATATTTTCGGTTGATTCATATATCTTTAAAGGTTTTGGCCAACAATTCTTCAATCGGCCCCACCGTGGGCCGGCCGGGGAGATCTTTTATTTTAGGTTATGTTTGAATTGTTTTGAATTATTACTTTAGTTTTATTGGGTAATTTGATATTTAAGTAGCTGGGATTAGTTTTAATTAAATAAATATGGCCCAAAATATGGATTCCACCTCTTCCAATATTAAAGAACCTATAAAGAGGCTTAGGTTTACAGCAGATGACGACTTAGCCCTTCTAAGAGAATTTGTTGCTGTAAACTCCGTAAACCCACTGGCAGACGTTGAACAATAAAGCACTGGAAATAAGCACTTTAGCCCTTTAGTTTTAAAATACCTAGTAAACAAAACAATTTCAAAGTTTTAAATTCAAAGTTAGGTTAAGTTTAAATAGCGGACGCGACGCGAACAGAATTCTTTCCGATCCGATAACTATAAATGAAGAGAGTTAATAGCACCTCACGTAAAGGAAATAACACCTGGCCTTATTAACGTCCACGCACGCTATTCGGTTTAGCGATATCTCCCTATTACGCTGTTTATTGTTATTTTACGCGAGTTTATTTTTGCGCAAAGGAAATTTTACTCTTTTGCGCATCGTCATATAAAACAATTTTCGTACCACGAATTAGGGATAAGATTTTTTATCTGTATACATATAGTATATCTAATCTGTGGTTGGATTAACACAGCAGTGTTTACAAAAAATAACTATTTTATTTTGTAGAATTTTTTCCAGTGACGAAAAATCCAGAATTTTTTTCAAGGTATCGATGACAATAATCCCATTTTTCTAGGTTTCGATAGTGCTTTCTGATGTCAACGATTGTCCTCCCGAATTCACCCAAGAGTCCTACAATATCTCCATTTCTGAAGCAGCACAGTTTGGTACTCACGTGCTCACAGTTCAAGCCAACGATAACGATACAGGGATCAACCAAAAAATCGCCTATTCCATACAGAAAGACTCGAACAACAATGCCACTGATTATTTTTACATTGACGATCTCGAGGGAAAGATTTACTTTAAACAGAGCTTGGATCACGAGATGTCGAGCGAGTACCACTTTGTTGTGGTCGCTACGGATCAAGGAGCGCCAAGTTTGAACAGTACTGCCCATGTCTGGATCAAAGGTACCTTGAAAAAGAAGTCTTGAAAATAAAAATTAAGTTTGTAATCAATATGATGTCTCAAAACAAATTATTTTGGGTGTATTCCGTTGCTTGGTTATGGTTTTATGTTCCGTTTCTTTCCTTTGAATAAGAAGACTAAGGAAGGAGCATATCAAAAATCTTAGGTACACCGCGATGGGCCTCAAATATGGCCGACTTAAATTCCGGTTTATCAGTGCCGTTCTACTTTTATTTAAAAAATGTAAAACTATGATATAGGGTAGACGTGGGGTAGACTCAATTATTTTTTTTTATTTTACGTTCTGAATAAATGTTGGTAGTTATTAAAATTGTTATAAAAATATATAATTCTAGTAAAAATAGATAAGTTATAATAAGTATTTATTAACACAAACATTCGATACGCTACTGAAGCAGGTAAGTCAAATTACGTATCAAAATTCTTTGACATCTGATCTTTGACAAGTATAGTAAATAAAAGCTAAAATGCAGGAAAATATATAATTTAGTTAATTTAAGCAAATTTCATAAATGATCGGTTTACTGCACGTATGTATATTATATAGTCACTTACTAGCGAAAAGTTGTTCCATTATTTCACTCAATTTTTGCCGAGATCTACCGCACGCTACACAACCAACTATTTTAGAGTCTTTTTCGATAAATCGCGATAATGTCACTGTTAATTTAAGTTCTGCCACAATTTCCATCTAGATTTACTACCTTTATACAGCTATCACTAGTAGAATAAATAATAAATAACATAAAATAAGCTCTGTAAAGACTGACAAATCCACAAAATTTCAAATCAAATTCAAATGTGTCAAATGAATCGTCAAACAGAACTGTCAAGGATCCCCACCCTAGAGAGCTTTTTCCGCCCACCATGCATGAATACATGGATAGCATTATGCTCCTTCCTTAGTCTTCTTATTCAAAGGGTTCGCCTGGTTTTGCAACGGAATAAAGCGTTTATTTGGTTAGTCTGTCTTTTAAAATGTCTAAACGGCGTCAGCGATGGCTATGAAATGAAGATCGCTGTCATTTTGTATGTAAAATTATATGGAGAATGTCATCGATCGTCGTTTCCAAGCATTTTTTCGATCATACGATACTTATAGAATATCAGAAGAAGATATGTGCATTTTTAATATATTGTTTTTATGGTTTCTTTAGTGCTGGATATGAACGATAATCCTCCAAAATTCGAACAAGCTTCATACTCCTGCGGATTATCAGTGTCTGCCAAAAGAGATCAGTTTGTCACTATAGTGAAGGCTAGTGATCTGGATGAAATCGACAGAGATAGTCTAAAATACACTATAGTCACTGGAAATGAACAACAAACCTTTTCCATGGATCCCAGTACAGGAATCGTGTCTCTAGGTACTTATTTTTTGGGTTTTGCTAGATTTTTTTTGTAAAATTTGTTTTTTATTGTTACAGTGAATCTGGCAAATTTCGGAAATCAGCAAATGATGCTGTTGAATGTTTCTGTGAGTGATGGAGTTTACACCAACTTTGCCCGGCTGAAAGTGGAGTTGATACCAGCTAATCTACATGCACCCAAGTTTAAAGATGTTATTTTAGGTAAAGTTGTTTATTATTCAAGAAGGAAGGTCTAAAAATGAATTAAAACATATTGTATTGTGTTTAAAATATTTTTAGATATTTTTAAACCGGTGGTTCTCAAAAGTTTTTCCAATAAAGATTGAGAGTCACTGGTAACAAAATTAATCTCGAATGTTTAGAAATTTCTGGTGAAAAATTAGTAAAAACAGTCTGTAGCAAATATTTTCTTTATACAGCTGCTGAGCATTAACAGTTTATTTGTGGTTTTAGAATTAGGTCTTTGAATGAAGGTTTTATTGAAAAAAACTAATAGTTATAATTGAAAGTGTAATTTTATTACAGATGTGGCAGTACCAGAAAATCGAATGCCTGGCGTCACGGTAGCCCTAGTCAACGCCACAGATGCAGATTTCGGTGAATTTGGAACTATTTCTTACAGTATTCATTCCGATTTACTCAACGAAGTGTTCGCTATCGACAAAAATTCTGGAAAAATTCAAACGAAGATCAGGTAAAGAGTTTTACTTTTTTTAATTTTTGTGTGTCTGTGTTTTTTTAATTATTCTCTATCAATTTTCTTTCTAGATTGGATAGAGAGAAGCAGAAACAATATGAAATACCTGTCATGGCGACTGACAAAGGTGGACTTAGTGATTTCCTGACTGTCAGAGTAAAAGTTTTGGACGAAAACGATAATGCACCCAAATTTTTACTTAAAGAATACAAAATCAGCATACCATCCAATCTAACCAGCGGTCTGGCATTTTCTAAGGTATTTTCATAAATTTCCACTATTAGGAATGTGCGAAAACTATCGATACGTCAAAATATCGATATTTTTTCTCAATATTAATATACAGTAAAAAATAGTGAGTAAAAGATTTAAAAAACTTTTTTTTGAAGGTTAAGGCTGTTGATACTGATGAAAACTTCGCTCCTAAGGTAATTTTAAAAATTCTCTCTAGGGATGTGCAAAACTATCGATATATCAATATATCGATATTTTTTGTCGATATTTATACATATACACTAAAATATAGCAAATAAAAGATTTAAAAAACGTTTTTTGAAGGTTAAGGCTGTTGATACTGATGAAAACTTAGCTCCTAAGGTATTTTTAAAAATTTGCAATAGGGATGTGCAAAACTATCGAAATATATTCAAATATCGATATTCATATACACTAAAATATAGCAAATAATAGATTTAAAAAACGTTTTTTTTAAGGTTTAGGCTGTTGATACTGATGGAAACTTAGCTCCTAAGGTATTTTTAAAAATCACTACTAGAGATGTGCAAAACTATCGATATATCAAAATGTCGATATTTATATACACTGAAATATAGCAAATAAATGATTTAAAAAACGTTTTTTGAAGGAAAGAATGAAAAAGCTTAGTGAAAAGCTTAGTTCTTAAGATATTTTTAAAAATTTCAACTAGGGATGTACAAAACTATCGATATATCAAAATATCGATATTTCTTCTCTACATTGATATACTGTAATATTCATAGAATAAAAGACTTATTTAAGATAAATATTTTTTAAAGGTTAAAGCTGTGGATGCTGATGAAAATCTAGCTGCCCAAATCGAGTACAGCATCTACGAAAAAAAATCTTCGGAGGTTTCGAATATTTTCAGCATCAATCCATCGACTGGAGAACTATTCCTCATCAGAGATGCATATTCTTGGGGTAAAAGTCATTTTCTGCGAGAAAAAATACACAAAAATATTATTTTTCATATTTTTTGTTCTAGTTGGCAACGTGTTTCAGTTTTTCGTCAGAGCCACAGACAAAGGAAAACCGGAAAAGCACTCCGACGTACCTGTCAATATTTTGGTCATCGGTCCCACTGACATACCCCCGGTTTTCGACAGGAAGGAAGGAAAATTCTTCCTGTCTGAAAACTCCGCCACCGGAACTGTCATTACCAAGCTGAAAATTCTGTCTAATGTGTCTGTGACCTATCAAATAGGTACAAAAAAATAACAATTTTTTTTTGAAGGTATAAAGTTATATGTTTTCTTATAGTTTCAGACTCTGATGACAATCCACAATTCCTCATCGACGCTCAGGGCCAAATTTCTTTGGCCAAGCCTCTAAATTTTGAGGCGCAACCTACTCATTTAATTGGGGTACTAGCCCTCACTGATAGTAGTCCTCCGATAACAGCTCTGGCAGAGATAGTACTTCAGGTTCAGGACGAAAACGACCACGAACCACAGTTCGAGAGTAGCACATACACGTTAAATTTAGGAGAAAATGTCAAAGAAGGCAGTACGATTATGAAAGGTACTATAATAGTTTTGAAATATAAAAAATATATCTATTTTTTGTATTTTTTTTTCAGTTATAGCACATGACGAAGACCAAGGAAGCAATGGTGAAGTTAGATATAGTTTTACTTCAGAAAAAAGTGAGAACTTTTTCTATGACTATTTCTCTATCGATTCACACACTGGAGTTATAAGTACTTTGGTGAAAATGGACAAAGAAACAAGGGCTGAGTATAAATTCTACGTCACAGCTGCTGATAATGGAGTACCAAAAAGATCGGCCAGAACCACCGTAAGTTTGGTACATTTGAACTAAAAATTGTATGGTAATTGCAAAACATTTTCCTATGCACGTCATTGACACTAAAGTCTATAAACCTGACTAAATGAAATTTTGGCAAAAATATTTAAATTCGTTGTACAGGGTGGTCGAAATTGGTCTGTTTTAACAGAGAAAACCTATTTCCTGACTAGATGGAGCAGAACCATAGACTTAAAATAAAATATAGACTGAGCATCTCATTCATAAATAGCTGGAACATGCGGTCAGACACTGTCTTGTTATTGTTGTGTTATTGTTTTAGGTTATAACGAGTGCGACACGAGCGATAGATAGGTTGTCTCTGTCGTAACGGTCGTTCCCTGACGACTCTGCCGAAAAACACAACACTGTCTTTCGTTTCTCAAGTACACCTGAACTCTCCGTATCATAGCCGGGTAATTTTTTTTATTTTAATGAAGCTATAATTAAATTAAAAATATATCGTATTAAGTAACTTTTTATATTTTATTAAGATTTAGGACAGGTTTTTTAAATAAAAGTTTAGAAAAAACAATTTAGAGTCCAAAAAGGATAAAAATAATAAAATACACGTTATAGAAGAAATTTTATAATCGAAATTAGGTAATTTTTGAAATCAATAATAAATTATTAATTTTAGTCAAACATTTACAACCCCTAATATTAATCAAAACAGGATCTATTCCACAGATATAATAGAATCGGCGACAGGGAGAGGAAAAAAAATATGATTGTTGTAATTTTTTTTCTGGTTAAGTGATGTCTTATTATGTAAATTAGAGGAAACATAAATCTGTTCCATTAAAGCAAGGAAGGTGATAGGAAGTGGATAAAATAAAAACTACATTTATTTAACTCGGTACTGTCTTTATTATACCGGGTGCGTCTCAAAAGTGGCTCATCTCCATATTTTTTTATATTTTCAAATAAAAAACAAGATTTAGTATGTTAGTATATGAAATAAATTAGGATTGATTGACGCATTCAATTGTTTTTGGTCACTTCCTGTTTCACCGGAAATGACTATAACTTTTAATTTTTAAACGGCACCCTCGGTATATTTCTACTTTATTCGATAGAAAATGACACTCTGAATAGAATGACATATCATATGTCAACTTTTGACATTTTCGCATATGGTTTAATTGTAATTGTAACACGCGGTTCATAACGACAATTTGTAGGTGGTAGGACCAAGTCTGTGGTATCAATATATTCATAAAAAAATGCTTTTTCCAAATATGCTAATGAGTCACCCTTGTTCCATTTGAAAAAATTGACATATGTATGATTAAAAATACGATTTGTACATCTTTTAACCGGCCTAGACAAGACACGAAACCTATTAGACGATCAAAACTATTTTTCCAAGGCTCCTTGATTAAAACTTAGTGGATTGAAAAAAACTGGATTGAAATTTAAAATAGGATATGTTTTTAAGCGACAATGTCAAAAGTTGACATATGATATGTCATTCTATTCAGAGTGTCATTTTTTATCGAATAAAGTAGCAATATACCGAGGGTGCCTTTAAAAATCAAAAGATGTAATCATTTCGGTGAAACAGGAAGAAACCAAAAACAATTGAATACGTCAATAAATCCTAATTTATGTCATATACCTACTAACATACAAATCTGTTTTTTTATCTGAAAAAATAAAAAAAGTTGCCACTTTTGAGACGACCCGGTATATTAAAAAATATTGTTTCATAATGTAATATCATTTTAAAATTCTTGTATGTTATTTTAGATTCTGAAGATAATTTTAGAATAAACCGGAATATATTTTTAATAAAAACATTATTAATTATTAACAGGGTTATAATTATGATTTTGTTACTATGTAAGTAAGTAAATAATGTAATGTAAAAGAAAAAATTCAGATTTTACATTTTACTAAAATATTATCTAAATAAGCGCCTTTCTACAACAACGCCACTGACTGCCAATGGGTAAATTGAGAGTTGCCTACCGGTCACAAGTCGTTTCAAGACTTAAATGGATTATTTAAGTCAAATTTCTTGCAAATTTGGCACTGGCGAACCATATTTTATAGTTTTTGAACAGAAAAAGTCAATAAAATAAACACTTAAGGACTACAAGCTAAGAAAATGCGTTAATACAGCCGGGGAGATAGCGGCAACAAAGCTTTACCGCACACGTGCGACACGTACTACAAGGTAATAAATGAATGAATAGGCTCCCTCGCCTCTAATCGGTGTTGTCATATTGTAAAGAACTTATCCTTATTAAACAGTATCCGACTTATAATTTAGTAGTATAAGGACTATTTAATACATCTATGGAATATTAAAACCTACTTTATTAAACTGTAGTATTAATATCTCAATATATGTGTATAACAAGAAAAAAAATATTGATAATATTAAAGACGTGACAACATAGGCTGGATGAGGAAGGCTCGGTCGACTGTACCCAGAAGTAAACATGTGTACAAAAAAGGTTGTTTGTCCGCGTTGAGATGTAAATAGTGTAGTCTATATTTTATTTTAAGTCTATGAGCAGAACCATGTCATGGGTTCGATTTCTGAGGAACGTTTAATGGCGTAAACCTAAAAAAATATTTTCACTGCCAACCGAGATACGGGGTCTTTTTGAATTTTTTACCATTTGGAAAATTGCCCATAACTTTTTTATTTCGCGGAATAATGTCGAATTTTTATTGATGCGTCCTCTAATTTTTTACGAAAAACATCGAGAGAATATCGTTTCCCCTCTCACGGATACCCCGTAGCTACAGAACGGACAGACGCACTGTATCGAAGCGGGCCTTGGTTTTGTGTTGACCTAGTTTCCTAATTATTTTTTATCACAATTTAATATTATATCATTATATATCTGCATAATTAAAGGCTTTTGAAAAGGTAAATCAAGATTCTATATTAGTAAAGAGCAAGCATAGAAAAAAAACTGACTACGCGACTGTATTGTGCTTAAAAAAGTGCCTTAAGAACGTTTTTACGGAATTTTATTATTTCGCGAAATACAAAAGTTATGGGCAATTTTCCAAATGGTAAAAAATTCATAAAGACCCTGTATCTCAGTTTGTAGTGAAGTTTACGTCATTAAACGTGTCTCAGAAATCGAGGTCATGACATTTATGTCGGTTTTACTCTATCTAGTCAGGAAATAGGTTTTCTCTGTTAAAACAGACCAATTTCGACCACCCTGTACATCAATAAATAAATAAATAACCCGTAATAACGCTTAGAATAATCTTCATAATGGACTAGTTTTCGCCAATATGTTATAAGTAAAATAAGCTATAAAACAAATAAATCAATTAATTACTAAAATATTACTTATTAAATTAAAAAATAAAACGTAAAACTCTTTAAAAAATGATATAATAAATATATTGTTTGTCACTTTTAAATTAAGATTCATCTCATAAATCCATCACAATCTGGCAGCGCTGTCGCCATCGCTTGTCACTCAAAGTTGATCACGTGCATCGGAAATTGTTCTGCGATTACTATATTATTGTTCTTGTTGCTTGTATAACTTTTTCCTTCTTATGTAATTTTATTTTACTTATATACTACCATTAAGCTCCTGTCTTAAGAATTCTTTTAACACGTTTATGTGATTAAATTTATAGGTTATAATAAAATTGAAAGACTACAATGACAGTCCGACAACCTTCAAAGAGTCTTCCTACCAGACGGAAGTCAGCGAAGATGCTTTACCTGGAACTGTCTTACTGACACTGACCACAACTGACTTGGATGTCGATCTGCACACTCCAGTCGAGTTTTATATTACGTCAGGTATATTAAGATATACAGGGTGTTTCGGAAAAGTTCCTAATATTTTTTTATGTAATTTTTTAGGTGATCCGGATTCACAATTCCAAATTAGACAGACTGGCGAGTTGTATGTGGCTAAAAGTTTGGACAGGGAAAAAATTGCTAGTTATCAATTAACTATTTTGGTCACTGATGGGCTTTTTACTGATACTACGCGTGTTTCAGTAAAAATTCTTGATGCAAATGGTAAAAAACATGGTAAAGGTGTGAATTTGTGTAGTAAAATATTTTTTTTTGTAGATAATCCACCTTTTTGCTTGAAATACAGATACAGGCAGATTTTATCTGAAGGAATCAGACCAGGGTCTTTTGTTCTGTCTGTTTTAGCCACAGATTTGGACGGTCCGGAACATTCAAAGCTCCGGTATATTCTATCAGGTATAAGGAATATTATTTTTAAAAGTATACAGGGGGTCAAAGTGCTTTCAGCGATTTGAATGAAATTTTAAAAAAATACTATAAGTGCTACATATTTTAATGCTAAAAAAGAGTCTACATATTCACCGTGCACATGAGTTATCACCTGGAATGTTTTTTCTAAAAAAAAAATATGTGCGCCACTGACTTTTTTATCTCTTATTGTTAGCAAAATTGTGTAGTCCGTTTAATGTCGATCAAAAGTTAGTTACTTTAATGGTATTTTGAAGAGACATGAATTTTTCATTGAATATCGGAATAATATACCGGATGATCCGTTTAAAATAAAATAGTAACTTGCTTTTAAAAGTGAACATCGTTCAATATCACTTTTGTCTCACCCTGTATAACTTTTCGTGTCAAATTTTAAATCGGTTTAACGTATAGTCTGTGAAATGAATAACTTTGAATTTGACAGTTCCCGCGGGCTTTTTTAATGTTTATTTTATTAGGTTAGCAACTTGCGGCCATGCTGACACAATGCCGTCTCTAATAGAACAGCCTCTGAACGAGATTTATGACGTCACGCTAGTTAGATACTACGGATTAATAAATATGTTGTAGAATACATGGACAACATAATTATTCCTCGTATTTTTGGTTTGTATTTGAAAAACAAACATTGATTTTAAAATACCAACCAAAAATACGAGGAATAGTTATGTTTTCCATGTATTCTAACACATATTTATTAATCCATAGTATCTAACTAGCGTGACGTCATAAATCTCGCTCCGAGGCTGTTCTATTAGAGACGGCATTGGTCTGATATTTAGAAATGTCAAAAGCTGATGACATTTTACTATTGACAATTATGACATTTCGTGTTGATTTTTGGTACAAGAGGATGAACTATCACTTGTTTTATTATTTTCCTTTTCTATTTCACGAAAGTAAAAAGAGTTACCTATCTGATTCGTTCAGGCACTCAATTTAAAGAATATCAGTAACTTTTTTGACGAAAGAAATAACGGTCAAAATTTAAAAAAAAAAGTTATTTATTTTATAGACTATACAATGGTTATTTTAACTAAATATCAGGCTATATACAGGATAAATTACAATTTAGGTGGTAATAGTTTAATATGCAAAATCTGCCCCCGCGTCTTTTTGGACTCGCACTCAGGGGATCGATTTGGTGTCGAATCAAAATAATTCACCTAAATTTTTAGCTCTTTAACTCAAAAGGTTTTCGAGATTTTCAAAAAAACCTGTTTTTTCAATTTTATTTTTATTTTTATAATTAATTAATGATGATTTTTTTCTAATTCTTAGAAGTCTTAAGACATGCAAAAATAATATGATCATGATTCTTAAACAAAAAGCCGATTTTTAGAGGAGGAAAGAAAATTAAAATCTTCATATATTTAACCTTTGTGAAATATGTCACTCACTGAAAATCATCAGAAAATGTCTTTTATACTCCTTTACACTCAGGATTTTTTTGGAATTTTTTGAAGTGGTGGAACAATATGAAAAAAATTAAAAACTCATTTTTTTTCTAAAATCTCCTCGGACTCGTTTTTTTTATAATAATCTTTATGTTTATCTCTGGAAAGAATGTATTTTTAATGAAAAAATATTTTCTACTCACTTTTTTAAACTAAACAAAAATATAAGTTAGTTAAAACAGAAGATTTTGGAGAAAAAAAATAAGTTTTTAATTTTTTTCATACTGTTCCACCACTTCAAAAAATTCTAAAAAATTCCTGAGTGTAACGGAGTATAAAAGATATTTTCTGGCGATTTTTAGTGAGTGGCATTTTTCACAAAGGTTTAATAAATGAAGATTTTAATTTTCTTTCCTCCGCTAAAAATCGGCTTTTCGTTTAAGAATCATGATCATATTATTTTTTCATGTCCTAGACTTCTAAAAATTAGAAAAAAAAATCATTAATTAATTTTGAATTTTACTATAAAAATAAAAATAAAATTGAAAAAACTGGTTTTTTGAAAAGCTCGAAAACCGTTTGAGTTAAAGAGCTAAAAATTTAGGTGAATTATTTTGATTCGACACCAAAACGATCCCCTGGGTGCGTGTCAAAAAAGCCGCGAGGGCAGATCTCCCATTAATTCATTTTATGACACTTACCGTCACTATCATCAAATCTTCTTCAGGTGAAGGATCTGAAAGCTTCTTATTGGACAAGGACACCGGCGATTTGAAAACTGTAATGTCATTGGACAGGGAAAAACAGTCAAAATACATTTTAACTGCTCACGTTCACGACAAAGAGGTGGTTAAATGGGAGTGCTCATCCCAGATCGAGTTAATCATATCTGATTTAAATGACAACGCACCGGTAAAATTATATATTTTTCGTTTTGATCATGTTTTTTATATTATTTTTTTTATTTCAAGGTATTTTCACTACCCTCCTATTCAGTAGCTTTGCCCGAAGATGTAGAAATCGGAACATTAGTAACAAAAATCCACGCCACAGACGCGGATATAGGCATAAACAGGAAAATAAAATACTCGTTCATTGACAGCTTCAACGACCACTTTTTGATGGCATCGGACAGCGGTATTGTCACCCTTGCCAAACCCCTCGACCGCGAAATACGGGCCGTGTACAATTTGACAGTTCAGGCTGTCGACCAGGGCACTCCCCAGCTGTCAACTGTCACAAATTTGACGGTTAACGTGCAGGACATCAACGACAATCCTCCGGAGTTTGCTCACAAGTATTATTTCGCTACTGTGCCCGAAATCGACGCTGTTGGTAAGTGTAAGGACCTAGTTTAGACTTGGCCGATCGACGTGTCTTGTTCATTTATATGGTCTACGATTTTTTTCTTATTTAGGTACTGAAGTGGTAAGGGTTCTGGCAACGTCAAAAGACATCGGTGCCAATGCCGAGGTGTATTACTCGATCATAGGCGGCAACGAGCATAAAAAATTCAGTATAGATAGAGAAAAAGGTGTGATTACTATAGCGGAGATGTTAGACTATGAAAGAGCCAAGGATTATTTTTTGACGATTCAAGCTATAGGTAAATATTTTTTCTCGGTCTTTAAACTGTGTTTTTATATAGTTTTTATCTTATGAATTTAGATGGAGGGACTCCACCTTTGAGCAACGTTGCCACTGTCAACATAACTGTCACCGATTGCAACGACAATGCGCCCGTGTTTTCTCAGTTATCATACAGCGCTAGGATCAGAGAAGATGCACATGTTGATGATAAAATTCTACAAGTATGTATCAATCTGTTTTTTTTTCTTAATATTTTGTTTAAAAAAAAGTTTATATAAAATTAAAAAAAATATATTTACTCTAAATATACACACGAAATAATTATTTTATCTCTGTAGATAACAGCCACAGATTTGGACAGCCAGGCTAACGGTGAAATAGCTTATTCCATAATCAATGGAGACAACCAAGGACAATTTTCAATCGATCCTGTAACAGGTTATGTGTCTGTAGCATCCCCATTGGACAGGGAGACTGTTTCTGGATACGTTCTTGAGATTTTGGCCAAGGATAACGGCCAGCCAGTGTTATCCAGACAAACTATGCTCAATATCGAGATCTCTGATGCCAACGACAATCCTCCGACCTTTACACAGCTCAACTATACAGCCGTTATACAGGAAAACAAACCTTTAGGTAAGGAATATCGTCACAAGTCGTCGAGCACAGTCTGTACTTTTGAACGCCCCCCTGTAACGTCATTGTGGATAAAGCCAGAACGTTAATTTATACTAATCATGAAGACATAACATAGCTGACTAGACTTACAATATATCTAGTAATTATTATACCTCGTAGTCTTTGAATAAAAAGACTAAGGAAGGAGCATATCAAAAATCTTAGGTCCACCGCGATGGGCCTCAAATATGGCCGACTTAAATTCCGGTTTATCAGTGCCGTTCTAATTTTATTTAAAAAATGTAAAACTATGATGTAGGGTAAACGGGGGTTAGACCCAATATTTTTTTTTATTTTACGTTGTGAATAAATGTTGGTAGTTATAAAAATATAAAATTCAAATAAAAATAGATAAGTTATAATAATTATTTATAACCATAAACATCCGATACGCTACTGAAGCAGGTAAGTCAAATTGACGTATCTAAATCCTTTGACATCTAATCTTTGACAAGTAGTAAATAAAAGCAAAAATGCAAGAAAAAATTAGTTAATTTAAGTGAATTTCATAAATGATCGGTTCACTACACGTATGTATATTATATAGTCACTTACTAGCGAAAAGTTGTTCAATTATTCACTCGATTTTTGCTGAGATCTACCGCACGCTACACAACCAACTATTTTAGAGTCTTTTTCAATAAATCGCGATAGTGTCACTGTTAATTTAAGTTCTGCCACAATTTCCATCTAGATTGACTACCTTTATACAACTATCAGTAGTAGAATAAATAATAAATATCATAAAATAAGCTCCGTAAAGACTGACAAATCCACAAAATTTCAAATCAAATTCAAAGGTGTCAAATGAATCGTCAAACAGAACTGTCAAGGATCCCCACCCTAGAGTGCTTTTTCCCCCCACCATGCACGAATACATGGATAGCATTATGCTCCTTCCTTAGTCTTCTTATTCAAAGCTCGTAGTTTATGAATTATTGCTTATCAAAAAATTTCTTTAATTTTGACAGTGCATGGCTCATTGACAGATCATCAAAATTCTAAGCAGGCCCTAGATACTCAATAGCAGTTTTAAAGTACTACAAATTTAGGGTGTATTCGTTTGCTTACCTTGGTTTCCTGAAAGTTTTCTTATTACGGAACACGATTCCTGAAAAATTCGGTTATAACTGTCAACAAACTAACCAGCGCGAGAAGGCTGGTTTTTCTGATTTTGTTTGTCAATCAATGTCATTTATGTCAGAGAAATCAAGCAAATATTGGAAGTTCCAGTAAAATTCTCATTTAATTTCTAAAATTTGTAATAATATTTTGTATTTACATCCAAAAGCAATGGATGTAGGCAGTAAAGGTAAATAAATTTCATTAACTAAATAGAATGACTTTTTAGGACCATTTAAACTTATCATGCAGCCATTGTTTCCAAGTCAGGAACATTTAAAGAAAACATGAATAACAAAACAACAAGTAATCGTGATTGTTTTGTAAGCTATAAAAATATAAATATTGATTAGATTTGTTTATTTATTATTGATCTGTTTTAATATTGGACCTGCAAATCTTCACTTGATCTGTCAAACGAGTTAAACAGTTTATTAATAAAGTACTTTTCAATATTAAACTCCATTGAAAAGAAGAAGCTAGCGTAAAAACACAGAATAGGTACATTAAAAATGCATAAAAGATAAATTTTTTAATAGAGGTATTGAAATTTAGAAAACGGCAACAATTGACGTTTCCGGTATTTTACCAAAGCGTTCCGTATCAAACCGATGTTTTTCAGGAACCGCTAGTTTACCGGTCTGGTTCGCCTGGTTTTGCAAACGGAATATAGCCTTATTTTAATTTTTGTTGCTACATTGATATGCAAGTAAAATCGGACGATTAATTCTTGTTTTCTAATTTTTTGTCCACTGGAAAGTCAATATGTTTTTGGTGGGATCAGTGTTACCAATCACTCTTTTAAGCCAATTTCAAAAACCCTAACTTTCAGGTCATTCCATTCTACAATTCGCCATTACCGATGCTGATATTCCACCGAATACCGAACCGTACACCTTCGATATTCGAGTGGGTAATGAAGGAAACTACTTTAGACTTGATCAGGATGGAATCCTGAGGACTGCAGCAAAGTTTAATCACAAAATTCGAAACAACTACATGCTGCAAATACGTGTTTTCGATAACGGAAGCCCACCCCTGTTTTCTGATGCCTGGGTATATTAATTAAAGATATTTTCCTTATTTTTTTCCTGTTAAAATAACATTTTTCTTGCAGGTTTTGGTGAAGGTTATCGAGGAATCGCAGTATCCCCCGATAATCACTCCCTTGGAGGTGAATATTAACTCGTATTTAGACGAGTATCCTGGAGGAATCGTCGGAAAAATTTATGCCAACGATCAAGATCAGTACGACACGCTGTCTTTCGCGTTGCATCCCACAGCGGGCATGTCTTATCCAGCCTATGAACTGTTTAAAATCAACAGGTACGTATTTTATTTTATTTGTCAATATTACGTACAGGAAAATATGTCTTTTTCAATAACATTATTTTTGTATTTAATCCTATAGATCTGACGGGACATTGACAGCTCTGCCACGGCTGGATGTGGGCGAATACAGGTTGAATGTCTCTGTGACAGATGGCAAGTTCTTCACCTATACAACTGTCAAAATAAACGTGGACGTTTTGACGGAAACTATGCTGGACAATTCGGTCGGAATCAGATTCAGGGACGTCAGTCCGGAATCTTTCATTTTGAGCCACAGAAAAGGTACGTTTTTTTGCCCTGACGTGACGTCACACGCGTTATTTTATGTTGGTTACGGAATGTCGACAAGAAAAATGTGTCTATGTGTTACGATCACCTAAGGTCAATAAATTTGTTTAATATTTTCTTTAAAAAAAAATACAGAAATTGCAGAAAAACTTGGCAATTTCATTTCGCTATTAAAAATATGCCAAGGCATGTATTGGCATGATTCAATTCTCTGTCTCACCGAAAATTAATGTTTTAGGAAAGTTTACTGGCGAAATTATTGCACAGGGTGTTTTAAAGTTAGGGAAAAAAATAACCCTTCGATTTACCCTGTATAGTAAGCCTAATACTAAAATTTATAAGAAAAAACTGAGTTTACTAATTAAAGTTGATTATTTATATACAGTTTGTTAAAAAAAATCATGAAAATATGGTTGAAAATAAAATATATGTAACACCCGAAAATATTTTCCGTTGCTTTTTTCTGCATCTGAGTATACAATTTTTTTTTCTTTACCAGGTTTTGTAAGAGCTGTCAGAAACGCAATGAACTGTAAATCGAAAGATGTCATTATAGTGAGTGTTCAACCATCAAGAGACGATGATTTGCTTAGAGCTAGAAGAAATGTAGACTATTTAAACGAGAGGTAAACTTAAAAAAAAATTAGTGTTAAAAAAAATTATTTAAAATATTTTTTTTTAGATCAAAACGTTACATTCACAAGGACCTAGACGTTCTGTTTACTGTCAGAAAATCGGACGATGGTTTCTACAGCTCGGATACCATAAGAAAAGCTCTCAACGACAATTTAGAAGAACTGGAAGAAAGTACCAAGCTAGTAGTCGAGGAAATCATCAGGCTAGAGTGCAATAACAAGTACTGCCTGTACGGATCATGCCAGGATCACTACGTCCTGGATACTAGCGAACTAGAACCGGTTTCGACAGACGTCACCAGCTTCGTATCACCGAAACATCACCAAAAACTCGAGTGTCTCTGTAACGAGGGCTACGGAGGTGACCGATGCGACACTATAGTGAACGAGTGCGCCAGGAACCCGTGTCCAGTGTTTAAAATATGCATTCCCGACGCCTCGCAGACCGGCTACTCCTGCCAATGTCCCGAAGGTTTTGCCGGGCCGTCTTGTGACGTTGACATATCGAAGTGTCACGATCAGAATTGTTACATAGCCAGGAACCCAATGTCGTTTACTGGGAAGAGTTACTCGCAGTACAGGATCATCAATAAGAAGTCTATTGAGGATCAGTTGAGTCTCAGTTTGAGGATCAGGACCGTACAACCTACCGGTAAGTTCTTGTAATATTTTTGTATTTTTTGGAGCAAAAAAATAGGAAATAGAAAAGTGTAAACTGGAAGAAATAAGTATAGAATGTTCAGATATCGTTCAATGTAACGTCATATGTTGTCGAACCCTAGATCATATATACTTACGTGGATAAATCACCGCCATAAGTTTAGCATTAAAAAATATGTCTCCAACATCACGACATGCCATTTTCAAACCTTCTCTATTGCACTTATGAAACGTTCAATAGGTTTGTCTTTCTCGGGGACCTTACTTTGCGCATGCGTATTAAAAGTTGCGCCTATTTCCAAAATAATAACAATTTTATACGGTTTAGAAAGTACAAATTATACATTGTTTGTGCTTTATATTGTTTGCAATTTATATTTGTGCAATTATATTTCTATTTTTTTTTCGTTGGACTTTCTAAATACTCGTAAAAATTACTAGAAAGTGTTTAGTGTGTGAAAGTTCTAATATAAAGGTCCCCGAATTATCTTTTCATAGGCACGTAAAGTATTCAGTTGTTCTTTTATTTATATTAAGCTACATGCATACTTTCTAGTTAGATTTCCTAAGAACATTGATATTCGTACGGAGTGGCTAAATGTATTTTTTATATAATTTAATTTCTGTGACAGTAAATATTCAATTTATTGTTCAAATATAAGCATTTTACAAATTAAATTTTTAAAATTAATGTTCAAATTTGGCGCGCGGACGATAGGTCCTCGACAAGGGTAGACAGAGTAGAAGCACCGCGTAAGCAACAAAAAAAGAAGATAAATAGAAGTCGTCGATATGTTTGCGACAGTTTCCATAGTGATTTACTTATCCACGTAAGTAAATATGATCTATGGAAACCTTTGAATAAAAAGACTAAGGAAGGGGCATATCAAAAATCTTAGGTCCACCGCGATGGGCCTCAAATATGGCCGACTTAAATTCCGGTTTATCAGTGCCGTTCTAATTTTATTTAAAAAATGTAAAACTATGATGTAGGGTAGACGTAAGGTAGACTCAATTATTTTTTTTATTTTACGTTCTGAATAAATGTTGGTAGATATTAAAATTGTTATAAAAATATAAAATTCTAATAAAAATAGATAAGTTATAATAATTATTTATAACCACAAACATCCGATACGCTACTGAAGCAGGTAAGTCAAATTGACGTATCTAAATTCTTTGACATCTATTCTTTGACAAGTAGTAAATAAAAGCAAAAATGCAAGAAAAAATATATAATTAGTTAATTTAAGTGAATTTCATAAATGATAGGTTTACTACACGTATGTATATTATATAGTCACTTACTAGCGAAAAGTTGTTCAATTATTTCACTCGATTTTTGCCGAGATCTACCGCACGCTACACAACCAACTATTTTAGAGTCTTTTTCGATAAATCGCGATAGTATCACTGTTAATTTAAGTGCTGCCACAATTTCCATCTAGATTTACTACTTTTATACAACTATCAGGAGTAGAATAAATAATAAATATCATAAAATAAGCTCCGTAAAGACTGACAAATCCACAAAATTTCAAATCAAATTCAAATGTGTCAAATGAATCGTCAAACAGAACTGTCAAGGATCCCCACCCTAGAGTCCTTTTTTCGTCCACCATGCATGAATACATGGATAGCATTATGCTCCTTCCTTAGTCTTCTTATTCAAAGGTTTTTAAATAATATAGCGAGTTGCTGACGCTTTAGAAATAGGAATAAATAAATAAATATATGCCTTCATTGTCAAAAAATTTTACAATTTGTAGACAAAGATAAAGTAAACAAACAAGGTACACAAACAAACAAACAAAAGATAATACAAAACATTATACAAATAATAATAAAATTGGAATTTCAACAGTCCAAAGGCTTGGAACTAAAGGGATCGTAACTGATGAAGAGTTAAAAAAATTAATAAATGCCGAAAAAAAACTGAACTCGCTCAATCAATAATGTAAGAACGTACTTAAAATTTTCTAAACAATATGAACTGATCTCAGACACACTCTAAAACTCATATTTGAGATATAATGATGACGTAACGCTGAACGATGACTAAACAGTCTTTATATTCCGAAGTTATATCTGAAACTTTTTTTAGGAAATTTGATGTACGCTGCTGGTAAAGTGGACTACAACATCTTGGAAATTGTCAACGGAGGAGTTCAGTACCGATTTGAGCTTGGCAGTGGCGAAGGGATAGTGAGAGTGGGAGATGTTTATGTTTCTGATGGAAGCTGGCATGAAATAAAATTGGAAAGAGATAGAAACAACGCTAAAATCACTATAGGTAAGTTTTTATTTAGTATCCTATGTATTTTTTATCATCCTGTGCAGATTTTAATATAATTGACGCCCGATTTTTAATAAAATCCCTATTTCTAGATGGTACCTACGTCGCTCAAGGTTCTGCACCGGGTGTCAGCGATATTCTCAACATCCAAAACGACGAAATGTACCTGGGTGCTGAAGTACATCAACATCCCTCAATTCTAGGCTTCGAAGACGTGCAAAAAGGTTTTACCGGATGCATGGATGACATCAGAATCAGCAGGGTATCCATACCGCTTCACAAATCAGGGGAAAATTCTGTGATGGTACTAAAGAGGTTTGCAAACGTTGGATTCAGCTGCGATACTAGCAGTGTGTTGGTACCACCAGGTCCATGTGGTTCGCATCCTTGTATGAACGGTGGTACTTGCAGAGAAAGTAAAGGAGGGTAAGAATATACGGGGTGGTCCGAACTGTATTCCGGAAACTTCGGCAGCACATTCTGCAGTTAAAACTAAGTAAAAAAGTTCGTATAAATTATATCCTGAAATGCTTAGTTTCGGAGATACAGGGTGTAGAAGTTTCATTTTTATTTCAATTTTTACCAAGAGATCTTTTTTAGGTAAAAATCGTCGTAAATGTATATTTTTTTCTCTGTAGTTTTATACAGGTACGGACAAAAAGTTATTACTCTTCAAACCAGTTAAAAAATATGTAGGTGGCGCCCTCTACAAGTAGGAGTCATTTTGCATCAAAATAAAATTTCTCGTGTCAAAAAACTCACAGACACTTTTGACGTTACCTCATGAATTATTTGGAAAAATGCGAAATAAAACTTCTACACCCTGTATAATCGAAACAATGCATTTTAGGACGTACATTTATACGAACTTTTTTACTTATTTTTATCTGCCGCCGAATTTTCCGGAATACAGTTCGGACCACCCTGTATTTAATAAAAATATAAAAAAACTGAAAATGAAAAAATTCAAAATAATAAAAATAATAAAGATGTGATTGTTTTTCAAAAATATACAATTTTTTTAATTTTTTTCTTCTAGATTTGAGTGTGAATGTCACGAAAGGTACAAAGGTACTGTCTGTGAACTGGACACTGATCCTTGTGCTTCTGCGCCCTGTTTGTACGGAGGAAAATGCAGTCCGACCATCGGTGGAGACTTCGTTTGTGAATGTATCTTCAGACTGAGTGGTAAAAGGTGTGAATACGGACGGTATTGCTCACCAAATCCTTGTAAACATGGAGGCGTGTGTGAAGAAGGTGATGATGGTCCTCTATGCAAGTGCAGGTACTGTATTCTCTTTAAAAAAAACACACAAAAAAGAAGTGTAGTCTAGAGTCACTATGACGCCTTTTTTACAGGGCTTTTGCCGGAGAGTTTTGCGAATACGATCTGAACGAGTGCGAGTCGAATCCGTGTCAAAATGGCGGTACCTGCATCAACGAGATTGGGTCGTTCCATTGTATTTGTCCATCCAACGTTACAGGACCGTACTGTGCAAATTCGATATTCAACTCTCCAATATCGTCGACGTTCTTCTTGAACATCACCTGGAATCACTTGATCTACATCGCCATAGTTGTGATCGGCTTGATCATACTGTCAATTGTCATATGTTCCATATGCTGTTTCCGAATGAAGAAGTAAGTTTGTTTAATTTTATATCATTTTGACGGGACTTTTGACATTCGCCAAGTCGGTAGGCCATTGGCAATGATATGGCCGAGTACCGCGGTTCAGATTCCGCGTAAACAAAATAGGCCCTTTCCAGATTAGCCATATAGGAGACGTTAACTTAAAATACTTTACTTTTAAACCTTCTTTCACAAAGTCGTTGACATTATTTAAGTAAATTTATGTCATTTTTTAGGAGCAAAAAACGTCGAACGAGGATGGTAAACAACGAAAACGTCAAAGATAACAACGTGTTGAATTCGACAAGACCCAATGAGATGTCCGAATTGAAGAGGGGCTCAAAATTAAGTAATTTGGAGGTGAATCACAGGGACGGGCCTATATGTCCTGCCAGGCCTGTGAGTTACACACCCAGCTCGCAAAATGAAGGTAAATATATTGAAATTACTAAAGAATATTTTTATTTTATTTATTATTTATCTTTGTTTAATTTTATTTACTTTTATTAATTTTTTGGTTATAAATTGTTAGTATTAATATTAGACATCTTTATTTCTGTAATAATACTAATGACTTGACAAGATTGTTTTTACTTAATTTGTTTTATTTTTAGGAACTTATGTTTGCAACAACACGACCATGATGTTCAATAACCTAGACACCCTAAGGAGCTATGGATCTGCAGGAGATGAACTAGAAAATGTACCTCCAGACTACGTTAGAAATTTAAACAGGAGCGCCCCCCAAGGCTGCATAAGTAACCATTGCGATTCCGAGAAGACCAAGTGGGCGGAACAACTGCATTTGAATGACAAGAGCAAGCTTAAGAACGGTAAGTTGCTATAGTCCGTCCTATCGGAGAGTACATGACAGTGACAGTTTTATCCATCATTATAATCCGCTGGTAAATTGAAGACTTGAAGTAAATAATGTTCTAAGTGCCAATAAACCGGTATTTGAAATTTTTTTCTAAAATTTTTTCCTTCCGAAAATGTTATTTTAATTTTTTTATTTTCTAAAAATATTGACAATTCCTAATTTCTACTCAATGTTGACGGTGTTTTTTACAGATTACAAAGTGTCCAGTCCAGTGAATTGCGACCCACCAAATAGACTGTATGGTGGAAGAAGTAACACATTGGCTAACAGCAATATTAGATCTCCACCCACTTCTAATATTGCTGAGGAAGACCAAAGAAATGTTGGCAGTAAGTATCAGCTGATATTACTATTTAATTCTTTTTTTATATTTTTTTTATTATTTTTATTTTTTGTTTTGCTGTTTTATTTTATTTTTTTTTCCTTTTGCAGGCTACCACTGGGATTGCTCAGACTGGGCCAGACATTCCCAAACCCTGCCCAACATCACCGAAGTACCGGGATCGGAAGTACCGGACTCCTCGAGCTTCCACAGCAACGAGAGTAACGAATCGAGGTGCCTCAACCACGTTGGGCACCACAATGTGCCGCACCACAGAGGCGTAGGCGTATCCCCCTTGAACGAGGTAAAAATAAAAATTTGATTCCATGAAATAAGGCTCATAGTACAAAAAATATTTTGAAGGGTTTATAAGTTTTTTTTTTCCATTCTTAGGTTGATGCAGAGCTAGAATACACAGCCGACATTGGCGAAAATTGTGATTCCTCGTGTCTGAACCCACTAAACGGTGATGGCGGCAGTGATCAAGACTATCACACGTTTACCACAGGTAAATATTTCGTTTTTCTCGGTAATTTTTAATCGCAGTGAAATATAAATCAAAAAATGACTGATATACCGTTCATCATAAAGATAAAACATTGATATAATAAGAAAATAGTGACATTGTGTAATAAATGAGTATTTTATCGAACAATGTTATACATTTCAGCAGTGTATTGGCGCGAAACATCTTTATAGAATTGTGCCTATATAAACCAAAATAAATAAGTATTCTGACGTAAGTGAAAAACTGTTGATGTGAGCCCGAAAGATTTTTAGTTTTTCTTTATTTGTTTACTCCTAATAAAAAAACAATACCATGCATCCACCATAAGTATGTTTAGAATAACACCTTTATTTATTTTTAATAACATATTATATTAACAACACTTTTTTGCCATTGAAAATGAATATATAAACTTTTTTGTCACACCCTGTATACCCTCTTTTGAAAGATATAGTTATATGTTTATATCACCTTTAATTTTAATATTCACATGCTTGTATATACCTTTTTTGTGTTTAAAAAATATATTTATATAAAAATATACATCATAAATATTTAAAAAAAAATTGTTGAAATTGTTCAAAATTAATTGAATTTGTTGTATTTTTGCATCCAACTAATGCAGTGCCTTTAATAATAGTTAAACCAAGTGAGTACTACGAGTTTTGTTGTTTGTTTTGTTTATTTTTGTGTCTTTTGGCTTGTTCTGTATTTAACATTATAAAAAAAGCACTTAAAATTTAATTCTATCTACACTAATATCTTTTATCACTGGTTGCAGATAATTTAAACGTTTTTTTTATTATTGAGTTTAGATATAGTTTATTTTTTTTTTTCAAGCTTTTTTAGTTTTTTAGATTTTTTTTTTAATTTTGTTTTTTTATGTGTAGCTGAGAGGTGTATACGTCATCCAAACTCGTACCTCCCACCACACTCTTACAATATACCCAGCGAAGCCGAAGCTGATTCCCTTGCCAGCCCTGAATCCGATGACGTGGAGCCCTACGGTTTCCCTAGCAACCGCAACAGGAGGAAACAAATGGATGACGACATTGCATCAGTAATAACAACACTAGGTAATTACATTAAATAATACTGTCAGTATCTAGAATGTAGAATGAGTGAGAGGGGGTTAATCACAATCATAATATCATTTTGGGATTAAAATTAGAAAGATTAATTAACAGTTTTTTTAATTATTTCTTATTTTATTTTTTTATTATTTTTTTTATTTTTTTATTATTTTTATTTTATTTTTTTTATTATTATTTTTATTTTATTTATTTTTTCATTCTTTTTTTCTTTTTTTATTTTATATGTTATTGTTATTACAGAAGAACGTCATTCGCTTTTGGGCGGTTGCTATGCCAGCAACAGCGATATGTCAACGAATCTGTGCGAAATAGAAGATTCAGAGTGCGAAACGGAGCACAAACCATTGAATTATATATCGGGCAGAGTCCACCAGACGTCCGTCTGACACAACGCCATCTCGGGACCGATCTGTGGTTCCAAAAAGAAGGTTAGGTTCCTAGGATAGCACGACGTCATCATCATAGACGAAGAAGACGATAATCAGCAGCCTTAAACTCGATTTCAGAACAAAAAGAGTGTGAGTACTTGAAAGAAAAGTATATATTATTGTGTTCATAATAATTAAAAGACCTTTAATTAATTTTTAAATCAAAAGTGACTGAGAATTTAAGTAATTTTAATCTAAGAATAATTAAAAAACTATATATAAAAAATTAAATAGTGCGGACTGAAAGTTTATAATAATATGAAGAGTTTTTCAGTTTTTTTACATGTTTATATAAAGTATTTATTGTGTTGGAATTGAAAACATGGTATTTAAAAAAGATTTATATGTAAAAACAGATAAAAATTTTGAAAAAAAATTATATCACAGTGATGGCATATCACAAAAAGGAAGGGTCTGTGAATTCAAGCTCTTTCGATAGTAGAATTATATAGTGATATTTTTTCAGTTTAAGACGTTCATATTTGGCGAATATTAACTATTTCACCCTGTATACAAAAGTTGTCCGAATTATACACAGGGTGAAGAAAAGGCTCTCTTAAGATGTAGAGCCTTTTCGGAACACTAGAATCACCCTGTATATGACCCAAATAATAAATTATACGAATTTAAATAGGAATAAAAATAAAACTATGTTTATTTTACTTGTACCTATACAGGGTGGTCTGATTTGTATTCGAGAAACTTTGGCAGTATATTCTGCAGATAAAAATAGTTAAAAAAGTTTGTATAAATTTATATTTTAAAATGCTTAGTTTCGGAGATACAGGGTGTAGAAATTTCATTTTTATTTCAATTTTCTCCAAATAACTTCTGAACATGTCAATATTTGGAAAAAATCGAAATAAAATTGATACTTCTACACCCTGTATCTCTGAAACTAAGTATTTTAGGACATAAATTTATACGACCTTTTTCTCTTACTTTTATCTGCTGAATATGCTGCTAAAGTTTTCCGAATACAATTCAGACCACCCTGTATATTTAATATTTCGGACAACATACTTATAAACTAAGAAAATTTTTGCTTAGATTATAATATCATCAAATGAATATTGCATATCTTCCTCAAATAAATGCTCAAAATATCCGTGTTTAAAAAGTTTAAAAAAAAATAGATGTATGAATACAGGTTGTACCAAAAAAATATGTTGTCTTAAATGAAAGAACCAAGAGTTATTTCCTAGTTATAAATTTTATATATTATTATTATTATGTATATGACTATTGTGATAGAATTTATCTGGAAACAGTTAATTTCCACGTCCCTTCTTAGATTTAAACTTATTTTTATTGAAACTAAATCATAAATTTGTCTCTTTTTTTATTCTTAAGGTAATGGTTTTTTAAAGAGAAAAAAAAACATGAAATAACTGATAATTTATAAATTTCTTTTCTCTGTTAGTTTTAAAACTAAATTTAACCTAATTTCCCCTAAATCCTTCAACTAATATTTAAAGATATAAAATAATGAAAACGATAATGTTAAGAGTAAAAAACGTGCCTATACAAAACAAAAAAAATAAAAACAACTGGGTTGTAAATAAAGATCCAATTCAGTTGAATGATTCCTTGTAAGCGTTAAGGAGACCCTACTTAAATTAATGTAATTTAATAATTATTTTTTGTTGTCCTTGTAGTTTAGTCTGTATTTTTTACGTTCATTGTAGATTTTATGTGATCTGTGTATGTATTTATTTCACGTTCTTGTTAAATTTAGTGATTTTTAGGCAGCTTTAATTGTATAATTTTAATGTAACATTTTTTGTTTAAGCTTAGTTTAATCGACATTTTTTATCTTTTGTATTGAATTTTTTTTTTTTGTAACGTGTACATATAATACAGGTGGTTCCTTTGTTTTAAGTTCTAATACATATACAGTATGATCGAAAAAAACGGCGTCAACGATAGCTATGAAATGAAGATCACTCTCATTTTATATGTAAATTTATTTGGGAAGTGTCATCGATCGTTATTTCCAAGCCAACTGACGCCGTTTTTTTTTCGATCATACGGTACTCTACTAATAAAATTTATACTGTATGATCGAAAAAAAACGGCGTCCAGTATGCCTTTGAAATAACGATCGATGACATTTCCCATATAAAAAATGACAGCGATTTTTATTTCATAGCCATCGCTGACGCCGTTTTTTTCGATCATACGGTATAAAAAACAACAAAAAATCATCTACATAACTATTTTATTTTTTTTATACAAAATAGTACATTACATACATTTTTTTAATAAATATTAAAACTTCAACTAAAGGAATCACTTGTAAAAATAACATTCTGTTCTAATATCTAGTATCAATTAAAAAATAAGAGAGAATTAGATGTAATTTTTTAAAAATAAACAAGATTAAAAATTAAACGTTTTTTATTTTAAACAATTAGAATTTAGTCTACTAGCTCTAGTAGATTCCCCTAGAGAGAACATCGTAGAAAACTCACCCTGTATATACCCAATGTACTTATACTTATCGTCATGAATAAAGAAATTTATTATATGTACAAATGTATTTTATTTTCCACCCTATATCCAAAAATATTAAGCCTAAATAATTAATAGAATTTTTAAAGCCAGAAATACCTAAACAATATAGTCTCGATAATCAAAGTGAATTCAGACAAGCATGAAAAGGCTCAGTAAAAATATTTTTGATCTTCTTGACAAAATGGTGAAGGAATTTTATTAAAATGTATTTTTCTAAAATATTTTTTAATTAATTTAAAATATACCGTCACACAGTCAAAAAATATTTTTGATCTTCTTGACAAAATGGTGAAGGAATTTTATTAAAAATGTATTTTTCTAAAATATTTTTAATTAATTTAAAATATACCGTCATAGAGTCAAAAATATATTTTGATCTTCTTGACAAAATGGTGAAGGATTTTTATTAAAAATGTATTTTCTAAAATACTTTTTAATTAATTTAAAATATACCGTCATACAGTCAAAAATATTTTTGATCTTCTTGACAAAATGGTGAAGGAATTTTATTAAAAATTAATTTTTCTAAAATAATAATTAATTTAAAATATATGACCAACGAGCTCGAAGAGTTAGATTTTTTAGAAAAACGTAATTATCTCGAAAACTAAGAAAAAAATACCTACATTTTTTTTCATTCGATAGATTAATTAAAGCTCTATCTCTATGCAGAATTCAGCTCAATCGGAGATACTTTAATTTTTAGGTCAAAATTTAGCAAAGGGGTTAGCCTTAGCTCATTTCGAGCCGAACAATTAAAGTATCTCCGATTGGGCTGAGATTCTGTATAGAGATAGAGCTTTTAATTCTCTATCGAATGACGTAAGAAAAAGTAGGTATTTTTTTCCTAGAAAAAAAGTTATTAAGGGTTGAAGTTTGCCAACGAGGTCGAATCGTTAGAGATAGCACATTTTGGGGGAACAAAATTCGCAGCGTCAATTCGCTCAGTTTCTGCCACCATTTATCATTTCGGGCATCAATTTAGACCGTTTTAAAATAAATTTAGTTTACCGTATGTACTTTTTTACTATATAGAGTAATATTGAAATATTAAAATTCCAAAAATCTGTTACCATAAAAAGACAAAAAATTATTCTTCACAAACATGGTATGGTTTTATATATAGATTATTCAATTTGGAATTGAAATATTAATATTAAGGGAGGGTAATCTTGGGTAATGTAACAAAATCTACTAACGTATGATAGAAAAAAAAACGGCGTCAGCGATGGCTATGAAATGAACATCGCTGTCATTTTATATGGGAAATGTCGCCGTCTGGACGCCGTTTTTTTTTTCGACCATACACCGTATCTATGGAATGAAACAATAAATAATTGAAACGTAAATTTATTTAAATTGAATGATACAGATGCATATACAGGATGTAATAGAACATAGGTACCTAATAATATAATGGATTGTATGAAATACATAACTAAAACGGCTTTAAATCTCTACTAGCGAATGTATAATTGATTAAAGATACCGTATAATCGAAAAAAAAAACGGCGTCGGAGAAGGCTATGAAATGAAGATAGCCGTCATTTTATATGTAAAATTATATGGGGAATGTCATCGATCATTTCCCAGCCAACTGGACGCCGTTTTTTTTCTCGATCATACGGTAGATTCGTGTATTACTGGTTGCATGTCAAATGCTCTATTTAAAGCTTTTAATTCAAGGTCTCTACACTCTAATCTTTTTGATAAAATATCCAGACTATGGTAAAAAAATACTTTAAAAATATTTCTGTCAATATACAGGGTGATTCAAACATAGTCTCAAACTTTCTTTCTACTTAAAGGTTTTTTTGCTTAATGCTGTTCCAAAAAGCGGTCTTGAATTCCCCAAAGTCCTTCCTATCTGTCTTCATTCCACTTTCAATGTTTTGCCACTGTTTGTACCAACTCTACAAGAAAACTATCATCAACAAAGCTTTTTGTTACGCCGTCTATTAAATAAAATAGTTTAGTTTCTACCAAAGATCTTAAAAAAATATATTTACCCTCTTTCCTTGTCCAGTAATCGTAAATATATTCAGATAATTTTGCCTGCATACGTCCCTCCTTAAATGTCTCTGTCTTCCCTAAATCTCTGGATTTTGATAGCACCAGATATTCTCTTCAATTATATTCTTCTAGCATGTGTCGCACATGCATTTGCTACGTACAGTTTTTCTAGAATAAACGAAGCCACCAGTGTAGTACACAACATCCTCTGGCATTTATTCCTATCTTCAGCTGATCCTGATAATAAAAATGAATGAGATACTATATATTTGAAAAATTAGTTAATCTAACGTACCATTTCTCTAAAAGCTGAATACCCATTTATTTACCATAAAAGCTGAATACATTATTTATTACCCATAAAATGTCTTGTGCGTCATCTAATTTTTCCTAGAACAGCATTTGTAGACGCCACTACTGGAATAATATTTTTTTATCACACCCTGTACTAATCTAAACGTAACACTGTGTATATTGAACTGACTGACTCTTTTTAATGCTTCTTCATAGATCCAAGTGCATCATCGCCATCAAGAGCAACACGGAAAGAGTTTTCTCTAAAATAATTAAGATAATTATTTTATTTTTTTTAAATATTTTTTTACCTTTTGGCCACTGTACAACTTTATATTTGCAATGTGACTGGGAGGATACAAATCAAGAGTACTTCCAACACAGGCTGTCATATCTGCTAGAATCACAGAGAATCCACACAATTCGTTTAAATCTTCCATCGGATAACGAGGTCATGTTTCTTGGTATCCCGCTATCCTGGCATTGATATAGTTTGCTGCTATCTAATTAAAAATAGCATTTACTTGTAATTAAAGTCATAGTTATGAATAAACTACCTGTGCTTTAAACACACCGATATCTTTGTGCCTGAACTGAAATTGTCGATTTAAATGCGACAAATCGATGATATCCATATCGATCAGCTTGAAACACATCATTGCCAGGTATTTGAACAGCTGGCAAACGCACGGGTCCCTGTAAATGCGCTGTAAATGGACAGGATGAAGTAGAGAAAATCCGGAGATGGTTCGAATTCGAGAGGGTCCCGGACGTTCCAAAACCTCTTCCAAGTGCTGATCAATCGTTTCTGATGAGATTCCTTCGCTTTTTCCGGAGTATTTCTGACAAAACTCTTTCGGTTTTTCCATGGAAACTTTGAATTTTTCCGGGGTATTTCTGACTTTTTTTCTGAAAAAAACAGCACCAAATCTAACCACTTTTATTTTTGAAAATAAATGGCTGAGGAACGCGGTTCGGATCCCGCGTAAACGCTCGGCCGGATAATCCCTAGCAGCGGAAGCCGGATCGCTCTCGTAGCTTTTATTTAGACACCCTTAAATTACGAGGGCTATCCGGCTTACGCTGCTAGGGATCATCCGACCGAGTGTTTACGCGGGATCTAAACCGCAGTCCTCAGCCTTTTGTTTTCTAAGATAGAAAAAAATGTAATTAAGTATAAAAACAAAGATATAAATATAAATTATTACTCATTAGATGAAGAACAAAGTGCTGAGATTATCAGAATCCAACTAAATTCTCTTTATTCAAAGATCTGGCGAAAATATCTGGGAAGATAGAACAGAAAAAGGATTTTACTTGTTACTTGGGCATTTTCTATGCAGTTTTCCTAGAATAAACAAAGCCACGAGTGCAGTACACAACATCCTCTGGCATTTATTCATATCTTCGACTGATCCTGATGTGTGCCTGAATGAAAGATATTCTATATTTGAAAAATTAGTTAATCTAACTTACCATTTCTCTAAAAGCTGACTCTAAAATACCAATATTTGGGACAGTTTCCCAATTTATTCCATTAAAATCTACCCATAAAAAATCAAGAGTATATCCAACACAGTCTCAAACTTTTTTCTACTTAAAGGTTTTTTTTCTACTTAATGCTGCTCTAAAAAGTTGTCTTGAATTCCCCTATCTGTCTTCATTCTACTTCGAGGTTTTGCCAGTGTTTGTACCAACTCAACAAGTAAACTATCATCACCAAATCTTCTTGTTACACCATCTATTAAATAAAATAGACTAATTTCTACCAAAGATCTTAAAAAAATATATTTACCTTCTTTCCTTGCCCAGTAATCGCAGATATATTCAGATAATCTTACTGCATACGCCTCATCCGTAAACATCTCAGTCTTTCCTAAATCTCCAGATTCCGGTAGCGCCAGATATTCTCTTCAAATATATTCTTTTCACACGTATCGCACATGCATTTGCTACATACAATTTTCCTAGAATAAACAAAGCCACGAGGGCAGTACACAACATCCTCTGGCATTTATTCCTATCTTCAGCTGATCCTGATAATAAAAATGAAGGAGATACTATATATTTGAAAAATTAGTTAATCTAACATACCATTTCTCTAAAAGCCGATTCTGAAGTGCCAATAATTGTCACATTACCCATAAAACGTCTTGTGCATCAACTAATTTTTCATAGAATAGCATTTGTAGACGCCACTACTGGAATAATATTTTTTTATCACACCCTGGACTATCACATGACATCTAAACTTAACACCGTGTATATTGAACTGATTGGCTTTTTCTAATGCTTCTTCAAAGAATCCAAGTGCATCATTGCCATCAAGAGCAACACGGAAAGGGTTTTCTAAAATAATTAAGATATTTTAAATATTTTTTTTTTTTTTGGGCAACTGTACTTTGGGAGAATAACAAGCAAGAGTAAATTCAACACAGCCTGTCATACCTGCTAGAATTACAGAAATCACACAATTCATTAACATCTTCTATCGGACAACAGCGAGGTCGTGTTTCTTGGCATTCCGCTATCCTGACATGGATATAGGTTGCCGCTACCTAATTTAAAACAGCATTTACTTGTAATTAAAGTCATAGTTTATGAATAAAATACCTGTACTTTAGACACACGGATATCTGTGTGCCTGAACTGAAATTGATTTAAATGGGATAAATCGATGATATCCATGTCGATCAGCTTGAAACACATCATTGCCAGGTATTTGAGCAGCTCGCAAACGCAAGGACCCCTGTAAATGCTCTGTAAATGGACAGGATGAAGTAGAGAAAATCCGGAGATGGTTCGCATTCTAGAGGGTCCCAGACGTTCTAAAACCTTTCCAAGTGCTGATCAATCGTTTCTGATAAAATTCCTTCGGCTTTTTCACAAAATCTTTGAATTTTTTCTGGATATTCCTGACTTTTTCCTGAAAAAAAAAGCGCCAAATCTAATTAATCACAATCACCATTTTTTATTTTTGAAAATAAATGGCTGAGGAACGAGGTTTAGATTCCGGCGTAAATGACAGACCGGATAATCCTCGTAGTTTTCGTATTTAGATGGCCTTTAGATTACGAGGGCTATCCGGCTTACGCTGCTAGGGGATCATCCGACTGAGTGTTTACACGGGATCCAAACCGCGGTCCTCAGCCTTTTGTTTTCTAAAATAAAAAATGTAATTAAGTATAAAAACAAAGGTATAAATATAAATAAATTATTACTCATTAAGTGAAGAACAAAGTGCTGAGATTGTCAGAATCCATCTAAATTCTCTTTATTCAAAGATCTGGCGAAAATATCTGGGAAGATAGAACGGAAAAAAGGATTTAACTTGTTACTTGGGCATTTTCTATGTAGTTTTCCTAGAATAAACAAAGCCACGAGTGCAGTACACATCCTCTGGCATTTATTCCTATCTTCGACTGATCCTGATGTGTGCCTGAATGAAAGATATTCTATATTTGAAAAATTAGTTAATCTAACTTACCATTTCTCTAAAAGCTGATTCTAAAATGCCAATATATGGGACAGGTTCCCAATTTATTCCATTAAAATTTACCCATAAAAAATCAAGAGTACATCCAACACAGTCTCAAACTTTTTCTACTTAAAGGTTTTTATTTCTAATTAATGCTGCTCTAAAAAGTTGTCTTGAATTCCCCTATCTGTCTTCATTCCACTTCGAGGTTTTGCCAGTGTTTGTACCAACTCAACAAGTAAACTATCATCACCAAATCTTCTTGTTACACCATCTATTAAATAAAATAGACTAATTTCTACCAAAGATCTTAAAAAAATATATTTACCTTCTTTCCTTGCCCAGTAATCGCAGATATATTCAGATAATCTTACTGCATACGCTCATCCGTAAACATCTGTCTTTCCTAAATCTCCAGATTTCGGTAGCGCCAGATATTCTCTTCAAATATATTCTTTTCACACGTATCGCACATGCATTGGCTACATACAATTTTCCTAGAATAAACAAAGCCACGAGGGCAGTACACAACATCCTCTGGCATTTATTCCTATCTTCAGCTGATCCTGATAATAAAAATGAAGGAGATACTATATATTTGAAAAATTAGTTAATCTAACATACCATTTCTCTAAAAGCTGATTCTGAAGTGCCAATAATTGTCACATTACCCATAAACGCCTTGTGCATCAACTAATTTTTCATAGAATAGCATTTGTAGACGCCACTACTGGAATAATATTTTTTATCACACCCTGGACTATCACATGACATCTAAATTTAACTGTATATTCAACTGATTGGCTTTTTCTAATGCTTCTTCAAAGAATCCAAGTGCATCATTGCCATCAAGAGCAACACGGAAAGGGTTTTCTCTAAAATAATTAAGATATTTTTAAATATTTTTTTTTTTGGCCACTGTACTTTGGGAGAATAACAAGCAAGAGTAAATTCAACACAGCCTGTCATACCTGCTAGAATTACACGAAATCACACAATTCGTTAACATCTTCTATCGGACAACAGCGAGGTCATGTTTCTTGGCATTCCGCTATCCTGACATGGATATATTGTGTGCCGCTACCTAATTTAAAACAGCATTTACTTGTAATTAAAGTCATAGTTTATGAATAAAATACCTGTACTTTAGACACACGGATATCTGTGTGCCTGAACTGAAATTGATTTAAATGGGATAAATCAATGATATCCATGTCGATCAGCTTGAAACACATCATTGCCAGGTATTTGAGCAGCTCGCAAACGCAAGGACCCCTGTAAATGCTCTGAAAATGAACAGGATGAAGTAGAGAAAATCCGGAGATGGTTCGCATTCTAGAGGGTCCCTGACGTTCTAAAACCTTTTCCAAGTGCTGATCAATCGTTTCTGATAAAATTCCTTCGGTTTTTTCAAAATATCTTTGAATTCTTCCGGATATTTCTGACTTTTTTCTGAAAAAAAATGCGCCAAATCTAATCACACTTTTATTTTTGAAAATAAATGGCTGAGGAACGAGGTTTGGATTCCGCGTAAATGACAGACCGGATAATCCTCGTAGTTTTCATTTAGATGGCCTTAAGTTACGAGGGCTATCCGGCTTATGCTGCTAGGGATCATCCGACCGAGTGTTTACACGGGATCCAAACCGCGGTCCTCAGCCTTTTGTTTTCTAAGATAAAAAATCATTTTTTCATTAATACGCAAAAAATGTTCTAAAAATCAAATATATATCATTTGTATATAAGAATTTTATAACATATCTAAAAATGCTTTCAATTATAATTTGTTTTTACTGGAAACTGGCTAAATGACCCACATAAGTTCAAGCCATTTAAAAATAAAGAAGAAGAAAATATATGTCAAATCTGTGGTTCCCTTTGATTAGAATCATAAATATGGAAAAGAAGAAAAACGTTACTCTTAATCTGTGGTTACAGTTCTTTTAAGACCTGAAATATGAAAGAGAAGAAGAATGCTGGTGGCGCCATTGTGAAAAAAGTGAAAAAATTTTGAACTAAACTCAGAAACACAGATTTCTGCAGTTAGATTTTTTGTTTTGATAATTTTAACCTCACAATTTTTGATTTATTTTTTTGTGGTGAAAACAAAAAGCTGCAAAAAGAAAATTGTAGTTAAAATTTCTAAAATTGAGTAGTTATGGAATTAGGGCCAGATCCCGACTTGTCTGATAGTGACGACAGTTTTTTCGATGACTATTATGTGGAGGTAAATCTAAAATCTTGCATATATTTGAATAAATAAAATTAATGGTGTTTTATCAATGTTTTCTACACCTTCTGGGGTCTTTTAGTTTATAGTAGGTGATTAAACATATATCTGAGCTATAACGCGTTAATAAATTACAGAAAAAACATAATTATACAAGCCAAAGAAATGTTTGTCCAGAATTAAGTCCAGAAGAAAAATACGCATTGGAATTAGAAGAGTTCTACAGGGTGATTTCACATGGAGACAACGAATCTTCAAAGAAATTTATACTAGAAAAAGGTTATTTATGCTGTTTTATGTAAAAAAAGTAATACGAGTAAAATATGGTTTTTATAGGCTTCGAAGTTGATACAGATCTGAAAGATGGTTGGACACCATTATTATTATCTAGCTGTTACGGTAATGTAGAACTAGTAAAATTTTTATTAGAAAATGGAGCCAATGTCAACCAACATCGAGGTAAATTATTTTGAATGATATTAGTTTTGTATTTTTATATTTAACTAAGTTATTCTCACTTAGATTTTATGACTGCAGTCATGCTAGCTTGTAGTTGTCCAAGTTACACAAGTCCTTTTGAGAAAAGTTTAGAAGTTTTAAATGTGTTGGTAGATAATGGTGCTAACGTTCGAGCTATTAATAGGAAAAGAGTTAATGCTCTTATGATAGCTGCTACTACAGGTAAATCTTTTTTTTTTTTAATTTAACTAGCTGGCCATTTAACGCAAGTGGTTATTTTTAGGCAATATTTTGGCTGTCGAATATCTACTACCATTATCAGACAGAAACTCCATTGATAATCAAGGATGGACTGTAAGAATTTATATTAAAAAATCATTAGTTTTTCTAACAAAATTACTTACGGTTCTAGGCTTTGACTTGGGCGGTTAGCAACAATCAGCCTGAAGTTGTTGAATATCTTTTAGACGAAGGTTTCGAGACAGATTTAAGGGACATTAGAGGTCACACTCCCTTAGAAATAGCTCGTGATAATGGTCTTAATGACATTATGAAACTATTCCCAAAAAAAGACTTGGATTTGGGCGAAGAATTTCTAGATTATGGCAAAGTATCGTACGAGGACCAGTTAGAAGACTTAAAAACACAAATAAGGTAAATTATTGGAGAAAAAACGTTTCTTTTTAAATCTAGGTATTTTTTTTCTTTCAGACCAAGATTTTTTAATGAAGTTTGTAAAATTATGGTCGCCAGTAATAACGAGTATCTTTTACAGTTATTTCACGATAAAAACGTTACTTTGGAACAATTTCTGGCATTTAGCGACGAAGAACTGAAAAAATTAGGCGTCGTAATGCCCTTTCAAAGATTAAAAATCATGGAGGCCTTGTACAAATTTCATAAAAGGCCTTACCATCCCAAATCAATGCACCTATGCCTGAATAATAAAAAAGTAACGTAAGTGAAATAATACAATAACCACTTTTAACTGGAACGAAAAAAAAACGGTGTCATAGTAGCCTTCTATATTTTTTTACTGATTTTTTTAGTAATCTTGATGTTGCAACTCAGCTAATATCAGCTGTTCAGCAACTGACAGCTATGGAGGGGAGTGTAAAGTTCGCGCTGAAGAATTTGGAAGGAGATTTGACAGATGAGGACAAAGAAAAAATATTAAGAAGTGTGGAAACGTTGAAAAAAACTATAGAAAAGTATAAAAAAGCAAACGAAAAATTAAGCAAAAAAATTATTGAGGTAAGTTTAGTAAAATCAGTTGATTCCTTGTTTTTTTTATAGTATATCTGTCATTTTAGTGGGATCAAATGACAGAACAGCCAGATTTTATATCAAAAAAGTTAATTAAAAGTAGGTTCCCCTGGAAGAAGCTTACGTTCTGTTTGAGTGTTTTCAGTGTATATTTGTATTTTAAATTAAAGCATTAGTGAGTCTTTTTTTTTGTTACATAAAAAACGTTAATCTTAAGGATATAAAAGAAATAAATTTTATATTTTATCGAAATGTTTTTTTGAGATGAAGAGAAAATCTGTTGATTTTATCAATTTTTTTTTATAATAAATATTATTTTTTGATGCAACATGTTGTTTTAATTGATTGAATAAAAAACCACCGTATGATTGAAAAAAAAACGGCGTCCAGGTGGCTTGGAATGACGATCGATGACATTCCCCAAATATTTTACATGTAAAATGACAGCGATTTTCATTTCATAGCCATCGCTGACGCCGTTTTTTTTTCGACCGTATGGTATAATATGATAAACAGACAAAAAAAATTTTTTGAACTATTTTGAATTGAATATTTTCTATTGATAATCTTTTTTAGTTTTTTTATTTACAACTTTTAATAATGAATTCACAGTATTTCTTTTTCATTTAGGCGTTAGTGGGACAATTGTTATTGATAGAAAAATATGTTAATAATTTTAAAATGAATACCGTATGATCGAAAAAAACGGCGTCAACGATGGCTACGAAATGAAGATCGCTATCATTTTATATGTGAACTTATATAGGAAATGTCATCCATCGTCATTTCCCAGCTAACTGGACGCCGTTTTTTTTCGATCATACGGTATAAAGCTTTTTTGACCAAAAACAAAAAATATGTTTTTTTTTCTAAAATATCTTTTAATTAATTTAATAAAAAAATAAATATTTTCGATCTTCTTGACACAATGGTGAAGGTTTTTTTTTTAAAATGTATTTTTCTAAAAAAATTTTAAATTTATTTACAATATACCGTCATGCAGTCAAAAATATTTTTGATTTTCTTGACAAAATGGCGAAGGATTTTTATTAAAAATTAATTTTTCTAAAATAATAATTAATTTAAAATATATGACCAACGAGCTCGAAGAGTTAGTTTTTTTTTAAAAACGTAAATATCTCAAAAACTAAGAAAAAAATACCTACATTTTTTTACGTCATTCGATAGAGAATTAAAAGCTCTATCTCTATGCAGAATCTCAGCTCAATCGGAGATACTTTAATTTTTAGGTCAAAATTTAGCAAAGGCCTTAGCTCATTTCGAGCCGAAAAATTAAAGTATCTCCGATTGAGCTGAGATTCTGCACAGAGATAGAGCTTTTAATTCTCTATCGAATGACGTAAAAAAAAGTAGGTATTTTTTTCCTAGAAAAAAAGTTATTAAGGGTTGAAGTTTGCCAACGAGGTCGAATCGTTAGAGATAGCATATTTTGCGGAACAAAAATTCGCAGTGTCAATTTGCTTAATTTCTACCACTATTTATCACTACGGGCATCAATTTAGACCATTCTAAAATAAATTTAGTTTACCGTATGTACATTTTTACTAAATAGAGAAATATTGAAATATTAAAATCCCAAAATGTGTTACCATAAAAAGAGAAAAAATTATTCTTCACAAACATGGTATTGTTTTATATATAGATATTCAATTTATTGATTTATATTCAATTCAAATTCAAAAAAATTTTCAAAAAAAAATTCATAATTATATTCAATATTAAGGGAGGGTAATCTGGGGTAATGTAACAATATCTACTACCGTATGATCGAAAAAAAACGGCGTCAGCGATGGCTATGAAATGAAGATCGCTGTCATTTTATATTTGTGTAAATTTATATGGGAAATGTCATCGATTGTCATTTCCCAGCCAACCGGATGCCGTTTTTTTCGTTCGTACGGTATAAGGCTTTTTTGATCAAAAACAAAAAATATGATTTTTTTCTTTTTATATTATTTTTTTTTATTTTTTAGTTGTAAAAATTTAGGAGAGGGTATAATTTTGAATAAAAAATAAACACTTTTAGGCTTATATAACACAATATATTAATTTTTTGTCAGTTTAATTGTATATAACAAAGAAAGTCATTTAAATAAAACGTACAATATTCTAAGAAACTTTTTTACGCAAAAAAAAACTGATAAATAATCGTTATGATGAACCAAAACCTAAACTATATCTTTTTCAAAAATATTAGATCTTTGTGCAACATCCGAAAAAAAATCTACATATTCAAAGAGTTTTGAATCATCAATAATCAAATACAAAAAATATATATTAATGAGTAATATCGAAAAAAATTAAGAAACTTCGTTTCTTCAGTGTTGGATGGGGATGAGTTTCTCTCCTGACGTGATAGCCGGCAACGGCGCCTCAACTGTCAAAACGCCGTCTTTGCTCAGAGAGGATTTGATCAGTTCGGGGTTGGTTCCCTTGGGCAGCAAGAATTCCCGGTTGTATTCCCTGTAGACGGATTTGGATTCTGTTTTTTCTTCATGCTTGGCATGGACCTGTAGAAAATATAAAAAAAATAGTTTAAAAAAATGTTGCACTAGGTTAAGAACTACTGCACCCCACTGTCCAATGCAGTGATCTTTGAATAAGAAGACTAAGGAAGGAGCATATCAAAAATCTTAGGTACACCGCGATGGGCCTCAAATATGGCCGACTTAAATTCCGGTTTATCAGTGTCGTTCTAATTTTATTTAAAAAATGTAAAACTATGATGTAGGGTAGACGTGGGGTAGACTCAATAATTTGTTGTTTTATTTTACGGTGTAAATAAATGTTGGTAGTTATTAAAATTGTTATAAAAATATATAATTCTAATAAAAATAGATAAGTTATAATAAGTATTTATTAACACAAACATCCGATACGCTACTGAAGCAGGTAAGTCAAATTAACGTATCTAAATTCTTTGACATCTAATAAATAGAAGCTAAAATACAAGAAAAATATATAATTTAGTTAATTTAAGTGAATTTCATAAATGCTCGGTTTACTACACGTATGTATACTATATAGTCACTTACTAGCGAAAAGTTGTTCCATTATTTCACTCAATTTTTGCCGAGATCTACCGCACGCTACACAACCAACTATATTAGAGTCTTTTTCGATAAATCGCGATAGTGTCACTGTTAATTTAAGTTCTGCCACAATTTCCATCTAAATTTACTACCTTTATACAACTATCAGTAGTAGAATAAATAATAAATAACATAAAATAAGCTCCGTAAAGACTGCCAAATCCACAAAATTTCAAATCAAATTCAAATGTGTTAAATGAATCGTCAAACAGAACTGTCAAGGATCCCCACCCTAGAGTGCTTTTTCCGCCCACAATGCATGAATACATGGATAGCATTATGCTCCTTCCTTAGTCTTCTTATTCAAAGGCAGTGACTAAAGAATATAAGGACTAATATGTCAAAACAGTGCCGTGCCGCATATTTTTCTTAACTTAGCTGCTTGAAGAGATATTTATATATTTGATAAATGTTTCGACTACGCCTATGGTGTATGCGCTGGTATCATACTAATTACTTAAAAAAAAAACGTATTAAAATGTTAACATAAGGTAGAAAACTAGTATCGACGTATAGCACATATCAAGTACGTATAATATAAGAAAAAGAATAATCAAATTCAATAAGAAAACGCTTAAAAGATTTAGTGGACTCATGTACCTATAAAACGTAATTCCTGGCTCTTTCTTATCGTTGCAGCTTTTACACTTGAAAGCTGAACAAATCACAATTGTAGTAAAGTTTATACAAAGTTTACTACACACAACAAGCTATTAAAAATCGCTAAAACTGTCGCTGAGTCTTTTACGTACTGTACTGTTCGAGCCGCTCTCAGAGACGGGTAAAGCGGGTATGTGGCCGAAGGAAATATATATTATATTTCAGAAATCTGCCTAAAGCTTAGCCCAAGGTATCAACATAAACTTATGAAAGTTATGGCGGTTCAAAAGTAACCAAGTACTTATCAAATAATTAATCAAACAATCAAAATTTTATGATTTTTAAAATGTCTTATTGCTTTAAAAAACGAAATAATCCACTAGATTTTTACTTCTGGGGCCACTTTGAAAGCTTTGGTTTACTCAGTGCCGATTAATACTGAAGAGCAACTACGGCAACGCGTTATTGACTGTTCCAATCAAATTCGGACAAACACCAAGGATATTCCACAGGGTATGCAGATCTTGGAGAAGAAGAGCAGATGTCTGCATTGAAATGAATGGTGGTCACTTTGAACATTTACTATGAATGAATAAAGGAATGCGTTACTTTAATAAGGAATTTTGGTAATTGGTTTATTTCGTTTTTAAAGCAATAAGATGTTTTAAAAATCATGAAATTTTGATTTTCCAATTAATTATTTAATAACTACTTGGTTACTTTTGAACCGCCATAACTTTCATAAGTAAAAAACTATTTTTTACACCATTTCAATGACACCCTGTATTTGTGAAACAATTATTATTGCAAATTTGATTCAATTCTACATTTTTTTATATTAACCCTCTAACACGACACTGCCTGGAGACAAATGGTAACAATTTGGTGTAAAGTGTTATTGGTCCTTGTATTCTTTAGTCATTGAATAGTACTTACCAATAATTTATTGTCGACAGTTTTGACTACAATTTCTTCTGGTGCGTACTGGCTGACATCGAATCTGAGCTTCAAGCTTTTGTCATTTCCGTCACTCTGAATCAGGGGAGAGTTCAAATCGTCGTACCAGGTACGTAATTCAGCCCCAGGAGCGCCGCCTCTGTGTGCCAAGTCGGAGCCACTGGTGTTTGAAGACTGGGTGGTGGTACTATAATAAAAAAAATTAAGAAAAAATATTAAAAATCATTTTTTCACAATGCTCGATAAGACAAAATTATACACTAATATTTTTGTGTCTTTTTTTCAAGGTTTTTATTATTACTTCTAGTTACATATTCCACAAAAATATATAGTAATACTGTAAAATATAATTCTCTGACAAATAAAATAATGTTAAATGTCTATACCGGGTGCGTCTCAAACGTGTGGCTCACCCCTATAAATTTTTTATTTTTTTAGATAAAAAATCGATATTTGATATATTAGTATATGACATAAATTCGGATTCATTGACGTATTCCATTGTTTTTGGTCACTTCCTGTTTCACCGGAAATAACTCCAACTTTTGATTTTTAAATGGCACCCTCGGTATATTTTTACTTTATGCGATAGAAAATGACACTCTGAAAAACATTAGATGATTGAATCTATTTTTCCAATGCTCCTTCATTAAAAATTAGTGTTTTTAACACAGAGCCATGGCACTCTAGATTGAAATCCAAAATACGATTTTGTTTTTAAGCTAAAATGTCAAAAATTGACATATGATATGTCATTGTATTCAGAGTGTCATTTTCTATCAAATAAAGTAAAAATATACCGATGGTGCCATTTAAAAATCAAAAGTTGTAGTCATTTCCGGTGAAAAGGGAAGTGATAAAAAACAATTGAATACGTCAATCAATCCTAATTTATGTCATATACTAACATACCAAATATCGTTTTTTTATCTGAAAAAATAAAAAAGTTATAGGGGGTGAGCCACTTTTGAGACGCACCCGGTATAGAACATAACATTTATATTTATAAAAATTACACGTATTTGTACAATCTAAATGACCTATGTCCTGCATAACGTTAAAACCTCATTTTCAACCTGATAAACTATACACGTACATCAAAATAAAACAACTATACGAGCGTATGTATATCTAAATCATTTTTTAACGATGTTAAAATCAATTTAAGAATGTATTTCACCGTGTAGAAATCTAAATTAGAGTCTAGGAATTCAATAAAAGTACATTCCTTACTGGTAGAGTACTTATTAAAAAATATTTTTTTAATGTAAATGTAGTGGGTTCAACTTAAAAAAGACAGACGATGTTTTGTATTTGTTCAAATAATTATGGTTCAGTTGAAAATACACAATTACCAAGCCTGTTTGAGTTGTTGTGAACATACATTTAATATGGTTATATGTATATGTATATTCGACAAATTGTATAAAATATTATTTTTACCCTTATTCTACGGCTATGCCTAAAGAATTTAAGGTACGAAAAATACCATCAACATTATTATTCTTCTCAGAAAGATGGGTGATGCAAATAAACAGAACCATTACCTTAAGATGAAATTTGGAAGAAATAGTCATAAATAGTTGCATCATTTTAGTTTCCTTTGTAATTCGTTTACTTTCAGACGCGATGTCTGGTTTCTATTTACTTAAGAAATGGTCATGTTTGTCCCTTTGCAAACCTACCTGAAAATATTATTAAGAAATAGTAGGTACGCCCGTGGATTTTCGGAGAGGGCATTCTCATAAAAGCACGGTCACAGAAGGGACCGAGAACATTCATAAAAATTTTTCATAGACGTAATACTGCTAAATTTATATTTTGTATTAAAAGTTTAAAAATAAAAAGTAATAACAACTTAGTAAGAATTTAATTATAAAAAAATAAAGAATAACATTCCCAACAAGTGGTGATACGAGTCAAATAGAGAACTACAACATTTGGTGGCAGCGACTACAAGATTGGTGACGACGGTGGTCCAATCCAGGATCACGACAGAGTGTGCTTTTTCTATAAACAGAATTTACGAAGGCCGAGCCTTTAATTCAATTAGATATTGGATTTAAATACAAATCCAAGCTGAAATTCAGATTTTTTTTAATGATTTTTAGGTGTGTGAATTTTTATGTAATTGTTTACCCACAATTTTACCCTCTAAAGAAATGGTCTAACCAAAAAGTATATTGTAACTCTTACCACAGATTATACAGATTATAAACTTTGTTTTTTCATTATTGTTTTTCGTGGTTCCAATTTTCGGAATCGGGCACTAGTTGGTACTAGTTTGCGCACATAGCACGCCCACTTATGGCCTCTAAAATTGTGCACAGCGCCTGACCGGCACAGTTATTAGAGAGATATCGGAAAACCGAATAGCGTCATGCAGTATTTACGCGTACCTTATCATGATTACGATATGCGCGAGTCAATTTTTAACGCAACACCCGCTAATAACGTTACCGCCTGACGTAATTTGCGGATCAATTACACCAAGCGCTATTTCTAAATAACAAAAAAAATTCAAAATTGCTTAAATGGGCATGTGCGGGTATTTGACAACCGGGGCCGGCCGGCGATATCTTTTATTTTAGGTTATGTTTGAATTATTTTGAATTATTACTTTAGTTTTATTAGGTAATTTGATATTTAAGTAGCTGGAATTAGTTTTAGTTAAATAAATATGGCCCAAAATATGGATTCCACCTCTTCCAATATTAAAAAACCTATAAAGAGGCTTAGGTTTACAGCAGATGACGACTTAGCCCTTCTAAGACAATTTGTTGCTTGTTGCCCTAAACCCACTGGCAGACGTTGAACAATAAAGCACTGGAAATAAGCACTTTAGCCCTTTAGTTTTAAAATACCTAGTAAACAAAACAATCTCAAAGTTTCAAATTCAAAGTTAGGTTAAGTTTAAATAGCGGACGCGACGCGAACAGAATTCTTTCCGATCCGATAACTATAAATGAAGAGAGTTAATACCACCTCACGTAAAGGAAATAACACCTGGCCTTATTAACGTCCATGCACGCTATTCGGTTTAGCGATATCTCTCTATTACGCTGTTTATTGTTATTTTACGCGAGTTTATTTTTGCGCACAGGAAATTTTACTCGTTTGCACATCGTCATAAAAAACAATTTTCGTACCACGAATTAGGGACAAGACTTTTATCTGTATACTTATAGGATACCTAATCTGTGCTAATATCACTCTAAGAACCCTCTAGTACAAAATTTTGATACTTCTAAACCAGATAGTAACAAATTTTCTAATTACAAAAAATACTTTTGACTTTTGACCAAGAAATTTTGAGAAGAATAACAATTGAGCCTACATAATAATGTTTAAAAGTTGATTTCTGTAATTTCTGAAAGCTTCAAATCAAAATTATATTTTACATACTTGTGTCAGATACTATATTTTTAAGGCAATTTTTCACGAATTAATGCGTTAAATATAGGAGAAAAAAATGCTTTCACAGTATAATTTCTAATTCGTTTTTGCTATTAACCCAGGCCGGACACGACGAACTAAATTTAGTTTTTGATTCGGTGCCAGAAAGCAATATTAGAATGAAATGGAACGAAGCCTGTACTGAGTTTAGCGACACAAAAATTTCCACATTTATACACACTACACTGTGCAATTATTTTCTAATACCTCTACGATGAAAATGACATTCGTTGACAGATAAATATCAGAACGTTCACATATTATACAAGTTTTATTTTCTACCTAGACTTGCTAGTGTTGTCTGACAGTTTAAAAAAATACATTTTTAAAAATATCCGAAATTTCTCAACGCGCTTTCGAAAGTTTAAAGTTAGGACGTGTTGTAATGAGACAATATGACATATCTTTTCAACACAATTGCTCTGTAGCCAATGAAAAAGTATTTTGGATATTTCTTTAAGAGCCTATTACGCTGTACTGTTCGGGTTGCTCTCAGGGGTCGGGTAAAGCGGGTGTGGCCGAAGGAAGAATCATGCCTAACCACCTAACAAATTTCAGAAATCTGCCTAACCACACCCAAAATTCCAAACACACGTGCTTTGATTAAGGCTTGATTAATGTTTGCAGAGCTTCAGCATTTGCCATAAAATAGCGAGAAATTTGTTACAAAACCATATAAATTATATATCACTATAATCACAAAACTTCAATCTATTTCCGTATTGTAACAGAATTTTAAATGATGTCTTTATTTTCGAGAAAATTTAGTCCATACATAAAGAATATTGTGTTGAAGTTTGACAATCAAAATCTTAAAAAAAAGAAGTTGTCTAAAAATGTGCTACAATACGGATATAGTATAATGCTTTATCTTTAATTTCCTTCTTCATTTGTGTAAAAATTCCTAGCCAGTTTTAGATAAAACGTTAAATGCCGAACGCTTATTTAGCTACTTTTTTGGAGTAGTGAAATGGACTTAAAAATATGCTAAAAAGAAACTTGGAACATTTTATTTAAATTTAACAAACTTTTAACTTTCGCCAACTAAGTATACTTCAAATCTTCAAACTCAACTGCATAGGTACTCGTTTTTTTTTAACTGTCAGACATATTTCCTAAAGACGCACTACAGAGGACATTTTACTGACTACTCTCTACATAAACACGTACAAAACCATCTCCAATGTACAAACCTTGAAGAGGAGGACTTGCTAGACGAATGTTTTTCGTTTTTTCCTTCCTTAACCACCTCAGACTCGTAAGACATGCAAAGAAAATATGCCTAAAGTTAGATTGGTTAGCTAAGCAGTTATTATTATTATTACAGGGTGAGTCGACGATAGAGTATAGTTCAGAAATCTATTTTGAAACCAGCGACAAAAAATAACTATTTTATTTTGTAGATTTTCTTACAAAAATTATTTTCAAGAAATAATGAACTTAAATCTATCGTTGGCTCACCCTGTAGAGCAATTTAGAAAAACCATTTATTTTAATAGCCTCTCCATTGTCTAAAATAATTATAATTAATATGTCGATAATTACCATAAGTGTGTTATTGTTTTAAACGAAATTGTTAACTAAATTCGAAATATTGGGAATAATTTCAATGCATTCAGAATACATCTATAGAATATTACTTTAAAAACATGCATATTCATAAAAAATATGCACCAATTATACCATCATAAGTGTTATAACTATAACATTCTATCATAGTATGCTTTTATTAGTACACTCTCAATTTTGTTTACTTTGATTTTAATGTCATTAACTTTATCTACTGCAAAAAGTAAATTTTTCCTTCTTTAAATATTTGAAATGTTTTTGCAATTCGTTATCTATCCAGATATGCAACATATTATAACTAGTTACAACTAAATCATGCTAAAACTTCATTTTAACCGATGGGTACTTCCAAAGAAATCTATTTTTGGGCTAGAGAATTTAAAAATACCACCATGCCATTTCCTGTCTTCTACCAGCACAAGCTGCTCTGGCTTGCTAAAATATGGCGCCAAGCCTTAACACACACGCGTTCTACTTAAAAAGAAGATGTAAGAAGACTTAATATTAGACCTAGATACAGTTATAAACGTACTTTAAGCTTTATACAGGGTTTTACATATTTTTTCAGCTGACAATTTTCTTAAAAAATACTTTTTTTTATTGAAAATGGCCATTATTTTAAAATTTGCTTTTACTGTGGGTCAAAATAAATCTAAATGTGCGTTTTCATTGAATCAGTTTGACTGATTTAGTGTTACCGAACAAATTATAAACGCGAGAACACATTTTCTATGGCTAGAACGAAGAACGAAAAATAGGTGGCATTTTTGTACAAAAGTAATTGAATTGGGTCACTCGGTATTCTAAGAATTAACGTTAGATTCTGTCGGTTATGTGAAATAAAAATGCCTGCATTTGTTGGTATTTAAAAAAAGGAAGTAGGTAGGTCTCTGTCTCTCTCATTTGAAATAACATTCATGCAAATTATACTAATTGACAACAGAGTCGTATTTAGGGATAGTGATGTATACTGTTTGATACTGTGTACTGGTACGTCTATGCATAAATATTATATCTAGGTCCGACCCTGGCTGTCTAACGGACCACGACCATTTGTCCAGTACTATTTCGAGTCTATGACATCACTCTTCACGTCGGGTAGTACCGAGTGCTCTTAAAAGGACACTTCTCAGTATTTCGTGACTTTAAACAGATGCAAATCAAATAAAATCTCACCAACAAAACAAATAACCATATAGGATTGAACAAAAATATTAGCTACGCTTAATAACGAATAAACAAATATTTTATTTTATTCAATGGATCTATTCAAGGTTCTATGTATGTTATTCTGATTTTTGTATGTTAAGGCGCGCTAAAAAAAAAGAATTACAACAATGGATCGTGTAACAACAATGGTCAATAAAATTAGCAGTGATCTATTGTGAAATTTTTAAATATATCATGATATTCATATACATTTGGAATGGTAGTGATAAAGCAAAGCAAGAATTTCCATTAACGTACAAACTGGATAAAATTTTCTCACATTTATGTCAGCATGAGAAAAAACAATATGGCGATATTATTATATAACTTGGTAATATTTGAGGGGTAGTTTCATCTAGTTAGAATTTGACTTTCGGAAAATCCGTTTGCCAAAAATAAGCTTCTTACGTCAAGCAGTTTAAGCAGAATCGTGGTTTTAATCAATTACCCAACTTTTTGGAACACCCTGTATGATTTTTTCAAAAATTTCAAAATATGTAAAAAAAAACAAAATAAATTATGCGTGTTCAGGCGTTTTCCCGAAAGACTAACCGTTTTTTAAATAACAAATATTGTAATATTTGAGGGGCGTTTTCACCCTCTTGGAATTTGAGATTCGAGAAACCCCTCCGTATCGAACCTCTACACCCCACAGTCAATCCGTTTGCCAAAAATCAGCTTTAAACGTCAAGCAGTTTAAGCAGAATCGTGATTACTCAATGGTCACATTTTATGAAACACCCTGTATAAATTTATAAAAAATCTCAAAATATGTAAAACAACAAAATAAAATATACGTGTTTAAGAGTTTTTCCGCACCTAACTTATAAAATTAAATATTAAACAGCTAATGGATAAATGCATTATTTATTCAGTATGTCAAAATATTTTTACACCTGATTGAGTCGAAATGAATTTAGAAGAATTTTATTTACAATGAATCAGAGAGCTACTTGTCCTTCACAATATGTATATGAATAACCTTAACACGTTTATTTTTAAGTTTATATATTTTATGACACATTACAGAAAAACACCCAGTAGTAAAAATATTTTTCTACCCAAAAAAATCTTAGTTTATAGTTAAATTTAAATGACACAGGAAGCTCGAAGTAGAAATAGCACGAGAGACAATATTTACCCAGCTTTCAGTTTAAAAATAGACTGGAAATTAAACAAACAAGGGTTGGGTATTGGATATAAACATACACGGTGCTTCATAAGTAAAAATAAATAAAACATTATTTATTTTTTATTTTAAACTTTGGAATATTAAAATGACAAATCATACTGAATTACTTTAGTAAAAGGCAAAGTAAAAAACCGTTCATATTATGAAGAAACACCCGGTATATTCGATCAAATTAATTTCCAAAGAAAAAAACTATCCGCATAATCACCATTTTTCCGGACACAAAAGTAACCAAGGCCAACTAGGGTACAAACATAAATGGGGAAAATCAATAATTTCCTTATATTTCACGGAAAAGAAAACGTATATAAGGGAAAACGTAAGTAAATGACAATGAACTGAAACTTAAACAAGAGTTTTATGGTTAGCAAACAGAATAGTAAAACATTTGTTTATAATTATTCAACCTTTAATAAATAAAAGTACCCTCCACGTGACCTCAAGATTATTATGAAAAAAGAGTTCGATGACATCTGAAATTTTCTTAAGTTAGTGAGATTCAAAACTTAAAAAAAATGAAATCTTACCTAATATAAATAATTTTCTTAAGTTAGTGAGATTCAAAACTTAAAAAAAATGAAAACTTACCCAATATAAATTGCTATGAGTCTAAATTCACAGAAAAATTAGGATTTCACATTGAAATCTTAAAAATTTATTTTATGTGGGTAAAATCCACATAAAAGCCTATTAGTTCCTATTTTATAAGCTTATAAGTGTTAAACAAAATCGAGAGTGTCTATAATACAAGGCGCGACATAACTAACTGGCATGATTAAATTAGTAGATTCAGTATTTTGTAGTTGAGTTTATTTTAAATAAATTAAATAAAAAAAATATCCTAAACCAACAAAAAAAAATATTCTTTGTGAGATTTTTAGTGTGTTATAAGCGCAACTTGAACTTCTTGTAAAATATATACAGGATGATCTGGAAAAGATCCATATCAGATTTTCGGGTTTAAGCTTAATATACCATTTTCATTTTTTTAAAAAAATGTGTCGTCTGAATGAACATTTTTAAATATATTTTTTTAATATACAGAGCGATTAAAACTTATGTTTATCCTCTCATAATTTAAATTAAACACACTAGTGATACAGGGCCGTTATATTTTGATAAAAATTAAATTACAACGTCTAAGTTCGACTCATCCTGTATATGTCAAACAATTTAGCGCATTTCAAAGCGAAGGATGCAATTATATAATAACTTCCAGTTAAAAACCATTAATATAATTTGGGAATTTCCCAAAAAAAATTTTTAATTTTTAGAAAGCTTTAAATGTACAATTTTTTTTACCAAAAATGGACATATGTATTTCAAAAACCCCACAAAATGATTCTGTATTTTAAAAAAATATACACTATTTGAAATTATCTCTAAATCTCGAAGGGGAAACCTGATATGAAACTTTTATGAGTTACCCTGTATAATAAAACATTTTTTTGACAAAAAATAATAATTTTTTCCTTGCAAAATACATCATAAGTGCATTATTTGAAGCTTTTTTCACTGTTACTGCGTTATTTTAGCCTAAAAACAACCAGATTTTTTTCTTAAACTCTCCCCCTACCTGGTGGTGCTCTTGAAGAAGTTGTTGCTCTCCCTGTTCATCAATTCCGACCTGAATTTGCTCATTTCTTCCTCCATTTTACGCATTTCGGCGTCAAAACGCTCACGAATACTGGAGAATTCGGTATCGATAACACTGAAATCGCCCAATTTGATTGGGATATCTCTTCGGCTCTCTGCCATGGCTCTGGATTCTTTTATTCCTGGAAATTAACGATAAATCCTCGATACGGCACTGCAACAGCACTTTTTTCTAGTCCACCGTGTATAAGATTCGTCGGCGCGCAAAATAAATGCTCGGCAGCAGAGGAATTTGCTGAAACTGAGCCTCGCCGGGTTTTTTTCAATTTTAAATAAGTCCAAGCATCGGAACGGGGAACGTACAGTCATGCGCAAGTTGCTTGAAACGTTTGCAACTTAGAGCATCAAAACTCGTACTAGACACTTGTATTTAAGGACAGAGAAAAGAAGTAAACATATAAAAGGTTTATTATATTTTATAATATTTACTAATAAAATTTTTGGGTGAACTTTTTTTTAGTCAAAAAAATTCCTGGTAATTATTGGGAAAACTGGAAATCGTCCGATTTTCACCAAAATTGGTATACACACTATTTTGAGGTCGCAGATTACGAATATGAACTTTTTTCTTGGCGGTCTCTTACCGTTTTTTCAGAAAAACGGAAAATTATTTCAACATTGAATGTTTCTTTATTTCGACCCTATAGTAATAATTTCACTATATTTTCATTATATTATTGTTTATCTAAAAGCCACACTTGATTGGGGATAGAAAAATATAGAAAATTTTACTGAAAAACACTTTTCTTAACAAAATAACAAAGAAAATTGAGACCAGATGGAAGTTTGACATTTGATATGTCCTTCTTTCTCTCTCCTATACAGGGTTGTTCACCACATACGACACGGAGTATTGTAGCTAAACGATGAGATTTTTACAAATTGTAATGTCGATGAAGGACTATTAGAGGTACAATTTAAAAATAATTTTACAAGATACAGAGTGTCCCAAATAAGTAAAAAATATCAAAGTTGTATTTTTTTAAATGGAACACCCTGTATATTATTTCATTTTTAGTTTCTGCGATTAAAATAAAGGTAAATTTGATTAAGATTTATTATACTTAAACCTTACCGTTTTTGAAATATTTTCAATTTTGTGAAATTGCAGTAAAAATTTTAAGGCTTCATTCCTCCAAGGGTACCAAAGTTTTTAATACTAAATATTTACTGAAGTTTATTTATTGATCAGTTATTGTGTTGCAATAATAAAAATAATACTACCTTATACAGAGTGTCTAAAAATTTATTTTAAATAATTATTAGCTTCAAACGGCAATAACTTGTTTAATTTAAATGGAACACCCTGTATATTTTACGAGAATCAGATGCACAATTTAATTGTCTATCAAATTATATTATACCATTTTTTACCTATCTCTTTAAGTTTCCATAGAAAATGCATTTTCTTGTAATTTAGAATTTATTTATCAATATACCCATGGAATATTGACATTTTAGATTATTTTTAAAGATGTACCAAGTTTTTAAAGAGTACAGATACTAATACTGTGGATATAATTCGTTTATTTCATTAAAAAATAAAAAAAAAAACTGTTTAAATATTTGTTAAAGAGGACCAATTAATATGATTCCAGTATTCAAACTACATTAACTAACTGCATTGATTAATAATAATTGTTCCAAATACTAAAAAACTGAATTTTGTATGGGTATTAGACAGTGTGATAAAAAGTAACATCTTAAAAATGATATTTCATTTTTTAAAAAATGCTTATTTATAACAACAGAGACTTTAATTTTGATAACTTATTATTATATTGATTTCTAACTCAAATCCACATTTATTTAGAATAATTTATTAACGAATACAATTAAGTATGTAATTAATTAGTATATGGGCGGAAATAATGGTGTTATATTTAATTAATGGTATACTCTTTTATAAAGATTTAAATAGTTTTCTTTTTGCATACAACATTATTGTTTTTAGCAAAACGATAATATTACTAGAATGTCAATATATGATGTCAATATTCCATGGGTGTCAATAATAAAATGTCAATATTCCATGGGTATATTGATGAATGAGGTCTAAATTATAAGAAAATGCATTTTCTACGAAAACTTGAAGGGATAGGTAAAAATGGTACAATACAATTTCATAGACAATTAAATTGTGCATCTGATTCTCCTAAAATATACAGGGCGTTCCATTTAAATTAAACAAGTTATTGGCGTTTAAAGTTATAAATTATTTAAAATAATTTTTTAGACACTCTGTATATATATATATATATATATATATATATATATATATATATATATATATATATATATATATATATATATATATATATATATAGTATTATTTTTATTATTGCACCACAATATCTGATCAATAAATAATCTTCAGTAAATATTTAGTATTAAAAACTTTGATACCCTTGGAGAAATGAAGCCTTAAAATTTTTACTGCAATTTCACAAAATTGAAAATATTTCAAAAACGGTAAGGTTTAAGTGTGATAAACCTTAATCAAATTTACCTTTATTTCAATCGTAGAATCTAAAAATAGAACAATATACAGGGTGTTCCATTTAAAAAAATACAACTATGATATTTTTCACTTATTTGGGACACTCTGTATCTTGTAAAAATATTTTTAAATTGTAGCTCTAATAGTCCTTCAACGAACCCAAAATTTACAATTTGTAAAAATCTAATCGTTTAGCTACAATACTCCGTGTCGTATGTGGTGAACAACCCTGTATATTCTAGACCTAATCTAGAAATTCGAAAATTTACAACGTTGCCATATCTTCTATTTTTTCGGGTGATTAGGGATTTTAAATAAATTATCTATTAACCTATTATGAGATCGAGAATAATTAAATATACCTACCTATATCCACAAAATTACGCGACAGAGTTTTGATTGCATTGGTTTCGATTTCTACGTGGAAGGGGTTAATCTTTTTTTGTTATATTATTTCCGAAAAGTAATGTACACATGGTGTGGTGTTGACAAACTTTTTTATTATAGCATGCATATTTAAATATCTTTAATTATCTCAAAAACTAAAGTTTTTAAACATATGAAACCCTTATAATAAATGCCTTATTTTATGTCCAAGAATCCAAAAATGAAATAAAACACCGGGTGTGTTCCATAAGAAAAAATATAACTTTGGTATTGATCTTAGTTCTGACACACCCTGTACATTTCAAAATAATTTTAAATTATACACATTGCCTTCCCACATATACCAATATAATAATTTGTTTTTACATCTTTCCTTGTAGGTATAATCAACCGAGGCGAATGATGTGCGCCACCCCGTAGAAGCCTCCCCAAAAAAAAACTCATAAAAAACTCCGAAAAAAACTGTGTGTAAAAAAAGAAGTGTATTTTTATGTTGGCTTCAAAACGTGAACAAAATAGAGAGCCTCTAGGTGCTGAATGGTCTAAGGTTTTCACCAGTCTCCCCTATTTATTTCGCGTTTTATTACAGTTCCACATTGAGCGCATACGCGTTGAAATGAGACACAAAACTCTTTAATGATTCACCCAAATGAGCCATTCTCCCTTTTGAAATCACTTTCTAATCATTTTTTTTAAGAGAAAAAACGAAAATTTATTAGATGCTACGCCTAAACCTGACCTGGGTAGTGTAATGTGTGGGCATGAAGAGTTCTAGATTTGTCAAGGCATCAAAAACAAATAAAAACAACGCGTTAGTGTATGCCCACGAATTTGTTCGTGGGAATGAATGAAATCTGATGATGAAGACTCTTTATTTAGATGTATGTTGTATTTTTTTCTCGGTATTTAGTAGGTTTAATAAGCGGTAGAATTTTCTTGAATGCAGCGGCGGAAAATGTCCAAATTTGGAACATTTTTACTTGTAATATTAGGTAATGTTCATTAAAAGAATGACGATATAGTAGGGATGTTCATTCAAAGAAAATGTTCGATATATTTTTTTGGATTATCGATATTTGGAGATATCTAATATTAACATTGCTTTTATAATATAATTTATAGTATTAAATCTACGAAAATTAACAACTCTTCAAACATAATCAAGATTAATAGAATTTTTACACAGTGTCCGATTTTTTTTACGTTCAAATTCCTGCCAAAAAATAATCGTTTTTTTAACTCTGGTTGTTTTGTTCTGGAATAATCAGACGATAAACATAACTGAACGTCTAGTGCCAAGGAATGTGCCAGAGATTATAAACATTAAGCTTTTAAAACGCTCCGCCTGGCCAGATCATAGAAAAAAATAGGAGAATCTAAAAGAAAAATTATCGTTTAAAGTCGATTTAGCTTTTATAGATTCTCTAGTAGGTACTTAAAATCGTAATTGGGTTTATTTTAAAGTATTTGAAGCTAATATAATAACCAACGCCCATTTTGTTTTTCTTGAAATATTTTTTTAATGTGAATCAAAAATTTTATTCTCGGTAATTATCACACAGAGCATTAAAAAGTTTGAAATACTTTAAATACAATTTTTTTTATTTTTTAATATTTTTTTTAAAAAAGGCTTAAAAATTATAATTTTTTTTTATTTATTAATATATCTTAAACTATCGAAACATATATTTAGGATTATGTAAAGCGATCTAAAAAGAAACCAAAAATGCAATAATATACAAGATGTTCCATTTAAAAAAATATAATATATATATAATATATAAAATAATATATAATATATATAAAAAAAAAAAATATATGGAGACCCTTTTCTATAGGAGATAGACAAAAACTAATATCGGTGTCTGGAGCTCAATTTTTGTCAAAAACATGATGGTGAAAACCGCATATCGATATCTGTTACCGTTTCGGAGTTACGGGGTGTTTTTCAAAAATATGCGTTTTTAACAAATCGCTTAACTTTTTCCTATGGAAAATTTTCTATTTTTATGGAAACATTTCCAAAGCACCTTTTTACTTAGAATTTAATGGTTTAAGTATACTTTTTTTAAAATTAATAATTTAAGAGTTATCAACAGAAAATTTGATTTTTTATATGGGACACCCTGTATATTTTTAATTTATTGAAAAGAATTTAAAATTACCTTTCCAAAAATATAACACACTCGATATTTTGCTCGATTCCTCTTCGAGATATAGAGTATATAAAAATTCGCCCCCTTTAAATAAGTAGGCTTTGAACGACACCTACTGTAATGCAAAAAAAAATCTAGCTGTGAGCATCAATTAAAACGAAAATAATATTTGCTATGAGAGGTGCAGAATTTTATAACAATTTAAAATATATTTAACCAA